TACAGCTGACAATCAAAGAAATATAAATCCGCTGCCTGTATCGATGCTCGCCATCATGCCTTTGAACCAAGATAGCAAAATTTGAATATTCTAATTCATCAGGTTTGCTATCATGGAGTCCTTGTTTGAATCAAAACAAGGTGAATTTTACTTTCATTTCGTGTCTTTATTGTTCCCATCAAAACTGTATGCTCATTTCTCCTTCCAGTGTAAAATGTATTCTGCAGAGACAGTATTTGTTCTTGGATGATGTTAAAAAAAAAAGTGTATTAAACGCTGTATGCGTTTTCAGCCTTAATATAGTAAACGCAGCAAGACAGACTTTAATTTATTTTACTTGAGTCACATTTCTTAGTTAGTATTCAAGCCGGCGGCATCAGATTAGTTTGGATGGAGCAATAGGAAATAATGTCAATGTATTTCCCTGTAGGCGGTGATGGCTGCTTCGCTGTAGACAAGAAGACAGGGCAGGTGGTGACCACGGGGCTCGTGCTTCAGAGGGAGAGAGAGTACTTGTTAAGTGTGGTGGCCCTTGACGGCATGGGGAGCCGGAGCGCACCTGCAATGCTCTCAGTGGTGGCAGGGGCCAGAGCGCCTCAGTTCACCAACGCCAGCTACGCCATCTCCATTCCAGAGAACACCCCAGAAGGACAGCCGTGAGTGCTGCTTTCGTTAACATGCACACGCCAGCATGGATATCAGCTCTGTGACAGGCCAAGCCCTGTGAAATGTCTACTGTTCATCCTTATTTTCCCAACCTTTAATATTTTCAAGGAAAATTACAGTCATGAAATTATTTTTGGGGATTCAATCTAGTAAAAAAAAAAACTGTAATACCCAGATTCTTTATCATTGCACAACTAAGTGTAACCACATGAAACATGACACAACAGTGTAATAATGCATATTTAAAAGCTAAACGGCAGGCAAATTGTCAGGATACGTAATTTCTGACGAGCTCTTACATTAATGTATGCATGGAATCTTTCTGATTCACTGACTGACTCACGGGGACATTTTTAGCTTTTGTTTTTTCTGACGATACAACTCCTACGATAACCAATGCAGACATCCACGCACACTACGGTTTGAATCTCAAACATTATGACTTTTGTTAATAAGTATTCATTTGATCACACCATTGCACTCATGCAAGCACTGACAATCATCATCCCACAATATTAGGGTTTGTAAACTCTCTTAACCGTAGAAGCATACACTTGTATCTGCATAATAGTATTGCGTTATTGCACAGGACTGACAAGTACTGATTGACCATGTTTACAGCATGGAGGCAATGGGGCATGAAGTAATTGATTTCATTAGAGCTAATTGCTGATGTTAGAAAAGAGGATTTAGACTGTAATTCAGCAGCTGAAATCATATACGGGCCATTTTTTTCTCTCCACATTTCCTTTAATCACTTTCTCTTTGTTGCACAGCTTCCTGGTGGTGTTTGCCCATTCCTTTCAGAAGCAGCCAATCAGCTTCAGCCTGCTGATCAATCCCAGCAGCCTTTTCAGCATCCGTAAGGAGACTGGGGAGATCAGCCTGACCAGGACGCTTGATTACGAGAGTGACCAGCGACGGTACCTTCTGATGGTCCGAGCCAGCGAGGAGTCCGGCAGCCTCAGCACGGCCACAGAGGTCAGTTTAATTAGGCCCCGATACAACCAGCAAATCTGAGTCATGAGGGAGTTCACACAATCTGGTCAACAAAGCCTAAAGCTAAAGTCCACTTTGATGTTTTATTATTGCATTGCTTAAAAAGACATTTACTATCTTGGTGGCAATTTTTTTTTTTCAAATTATTATCCAAATGAAAAGCTCCCAGGCAACATTTTATGCGTGTTTTATGGTTCCTGACAGCTGGCGAGTCTGATTGCCTTAAGGTGTCACAGCAGAAACACCATAACCAAAATACGAAATAAAATAAAAAAGTATAGCAACTGAACAAATCACACAGTGACAAAACACCGCAACATGTCATTAAAACGCTAAGGAGATGATCAAAACAGAGCATTAAACAGAACAGCTTTGGAAAGCTTTTGTTTCATGTAAAACAAGTTGTGGATTTGTTATCTAGCTATATAAAATGTGGAAGTATTATTAGTTGTGACTTGTATTTTATTTTGTACAAATTCGTATTCATTTGTAAAAATATTGAGATGTGGCAACATTTTTAGATCAATATGTTTTTGTTTTTTTGTGTTTTCCGTTTCATTGAGCTGTTTGCTATGTTGCTTTGTGTTGTGGAATCTCTTGTGTTTTTGGTTTTGTTTCTTTCCTTTTTTCCATCAGTAGGTTTTTGTTCAGTGTTGCTGTGGTTTGCCCCTCAGTGTCTCTGTAGGCTGTACACTGAGTTTTAATGATGAAAAGTCAGACCTGACCTTCTGACATCACGCTGCTTGTGCATAACGTCAAGAAGGACCAGCAGAGTTTGTCACTGTCTGCAGGAATGCCATGGCTGAGTGGTTTTGTGACCAATGGGCTTTAGGATCTTTTTATGTTGTTTGTGTCATCTTTTGTTTAATAGTGTGTGTGTGTGTGTGTGTGTGTGTTTATGTAGCCTTAGGATGAAACCTCACAATCGTTTAATGTAATTGTCAAATTGGTATGAAAACAAACTAAAAATTATTCAAGAATTCAATTTTCATTTCAGTTTTTTATTAAAACTGTGTTGCTCATTATCAAATCAAAGGTTCCCATCCCCGCATAGATCAAATAGACCTCTTTTTCTGCAGAGCCAGATGTTATGATATATGTGATGGATACTGTGAAAAACCTTATTCCGGCTATTTCAGGACTATTACTCAGCTGTCACTTCACACTTTACACACTGTGGTGACAGCGAGCTTGTCGGATGGAAGACAGCTAAGGGCTTTTGTAGAAAAACACACACAGCGATGCACTCACATGCTCAAAACATTTCTATTTTTGACCCAAGAAAATCATGAAGTGGAAGATAAAGGATGTGTTGAACAGGCGGCTAGCGGAGCTAGAAAATGCAATTAAGATTAAGTTTTGGGGTCAACTTCCTGTACAGAGAATTTGATATGGTTGTCTTTCGGATTTGAGAGCTAATAAAGAGTGGTTAATATTGTGCTCTTCCACTCTGATTTTGTTCTTCTCTTCTTCCTTTCCTCTCACTGGCGCTAATCAGGTTCAGGTGCTGATAACAGATGAAAATGATTGTGTCCCCGAGTTTCTCCAGTCCATCTACAGTGTAGATGGAGTTCCTGAGACCGTAACCACGGCAACATCCCTGCTGCAGGGTAAGACTCCGCTAAACCCCGTGCTTCACATCCATCTGTTTATTTCTGAGAGGGAAACTGTCCAAAACCTTGTTTTTCTGTAAGTAAATCACTGATTAAAACTTCCAAACTTGAGCTGTGCTGCTTGCAGAACAGTAATGCTTGCAGTTTTGTCTCAAAGTTATCATTTCAAAACTAGTTGCCTCAGAGATGCCATTTCCATCAATTTGCTTTCAATTCATGGAAACTAAAGCTTACATATAGCTGTCACCACAAATTAACTGTTGGAGCCACAATAGTGGTGTTTCCTCTATAATCACTGAGCTTTAATTCCTTTAAAAATCCATTGAAACATAATCACAGGTATTTTCGGCTTTGAGAGAAATTAAACTTCTATTAGCATGCATAAGGTTTAGTTATTTTTGGGTACTGCCTTTCAAATTATTGAGTCGAATTCAACTCCAGATAAAACAGCTTAACGGGATTCGAGAATTGTCTCTGTCGTTGATATTTAATTAATATATTAACAGAGACTTCAAGTAAATTAACCCCCAAAAAGCAGATGAAATTAATAATAAAACTGGTAGATTCATTATAGTTTATGTAAACACCCAGTCAAATGTGATTTTAAAATTTTTCTCCACCATAAGAAGTAGGACTCTCAAAGCAACTGCAACGCAAGCTGTAGGACTAAATGGGAACCAAAAGCCAATGCATTGAGAAAAACTAGAAGGAAGAGAGATGGAGTGGCAGGAAAAAGCCTAAAAGTTAGAGCTATATGCTCCAAATACTCTTTAGGTATACTACACATACTGTGTGAATGTATGCCTTTGTATTTAAAATCATAAAGCAGAGAAAGAAAATGCCCAAACATAGAAGGAAGGAATGAAAACGTAAAAGGAAAATGTAAGAATGTGGTAATCTGCTTAATTACTTAGTTAACTAATGAAATATGAAAGTTTTTCAAAGCTCCGAGACAGTAAAATCCCCTTCACGCCACCAGCATGTCTCTTGTGGGTGAAGAAAAAGGACCTGCTAAGGTTAACAGTTAAGAAGATGCAAACTGTGGAGCGCTTGTCACACTGAGGTTCAAATTGAATATACAGTTTCATTTCCTTTAACATTTAATGAGTCTGCCACATTATACAAACTAAATGAGAAGAGAGTGTAGTGAATTGCCAGTCATGGACTCTTTTACAAGGAGCAGAAATGTAAGAAAAATGACGCACTGACATATACAGGCGGCTGATGCTCATACTTGAGATGCAGGAAATAAACACATCAAAGCAATCCGAAGTATGCAAGAGTTATGAGCTTAAGAAAATCAGTTTGAAACATTGAGCTTGAGTGAAATTCCCTGGGCCTGTAACTGTAGTCTTAGGGGAAAAAAATCTTATCAGACAAGACAGACAAATCTATTCTTTTCCATGTAATTACGTTAGAATATAATAATTTCCATACACACAAACGAAGAAAACTAATTCTGTTTATTTATTTTTTTGTTTCTTTCCTGTCTTCGAGCTCATTTTTTTTGCAAACGATGGTAATCATCCTGGCAGGGCACAGTTTGTTCTGGTAATTGTAGCTGTCTGAGCTTATGATTTATCACATGTTTAGCAAGGCCATAAAGAGATAATGATGACACAGATGTCAGCATATTCATCAGTAGATGCCACATCATCAGCCCATTTCGATTACGTGCTAATTGATGGGCCTTTTGTCATGTCTTCTCTCCCAGTTTTAGCCACAGATTGTGACTCGGGGTTAAACGCTGAGCTCACCTATTACACCCTGAGCCCGGATTTCAGCATTTCACCCCACGGGACTGTTTTCCCTGCACGGCGGCTCGATTATGAGCGGTCCAACCATCTGTATGAGTTTGTGGTGATGGCAGTGGACAGCGGGGATGAGCCGAACTCCGGTACTGCTACAGTCCGTGTGAGGATGGCGAATGTGAATGACGAAGCTCCAGAATTCTCCCAGTCTGTGTGAGTGGCTTGATCACTTTCTATGAAATGAAAACCTGTCCACACTTCTGTCCTCTTTTACCAAATGCCGTTTATTTAAAGCAGAGTTGGAAAAAGTTTTGACTCAATTTTAGATTTTGGTTTGATTATAGAGACATCTTTTACTCAGGCTGCAGCATATTTTTTTAGATTTATATTCAGAATTTACACTCAGTATCTAGGACTAGAGGGAATACATTTTTTTTTAACTTGGACAACCCATTAAAGGCAATGTCAAAGGTGACTGAAGTCTTCTTTTGTGAGGCCTTTGGGAGACCCGAACTTGAACTATTTGTAGCTCTTTTTGCTTTGCTTTGTCTTTATCAAGCTTTTGTCTTTATCAATTTGTTCAGGTTGAAATCAGGTGCCTGACACAGGGCCTCCTGTGGGTTTCAGAGAGTATTTTGGTCTGTTAGCAGCCCTTTCCCTCAGCTTTACAGCACATGGCTGAATCTCAGTGGATGGGATGTTCCTCTCCACAGGACTCATACTGAATTCTCTCTGCTTCCATTTACTTTACCAGGTGCCATTGGATGCAATTAATACCATAATGTAGCTTCCATTTGTGTTAGGCTTAATGTTGTGTGCTTAGGATAATGAGCTGTACCAAGTGTTCTCTATGCTTTATTCTTCTAAACGGTTTCATACAAATAGATCTTGGTTTAGTGGATTGTGTTCACCCTATAGCAAACATCAATGTCTCCCCTGGGTGAGCCTTTCTATTTAAAACAGGCGCAGATACTGGGTCCACCTAATCAAGAATGTCCCTCACATGGTTTGGATGTCGGGAATATGCCTTTATGATAATACTCAGTGATCATTTTTTGTGGGCACCATAACCTCTTTATTTTTCTCAGAAGTTGATAAATTGTTTATTTAGCTACTGTTTTCTACTGTTTTCTAGAATGGCCTATGTCACTTAAATAGAGAGGCCCATGGTCCCATTAAAAATGTCAAGCAAATGTCAAATGTATTTCCTTCACTGAGATACTAGATTTACATTCAGTTCACATCAGACTAACATGCTAGTTTTTTAAGCATATTTTATGACTTGAAAAGGGCTTTTTGCATTCATAAAACAATTAACGGCAAACCAATTCCCTGATAACGAAATAATGAGGCATTCGCCCACACCTGCTGTCTGTATGAAATTGCTTCAGAGTTAATCGTCCATTTATATTTTAGCCCCGTAGAAAGACTGTTATACATATTAATACAAGACCATATAACAACCAATTCATTACGCTTTTCTTTCCAGCCAAAACAAACAGACCGCCTTTTAAGATCTGTCAGTTATAAATGTAAGTGTTGTGTTTGGGTAAATGGCTTCGTCTCTGTGCCCTTTCCTGCACTGACCTTTTTACCTCTGTGACTTTAAACTTTGAAACTTTGAGAAAGAGCACCTTAGATATATGTGTAAGAATTAGGAAGGGCAGGAATGTGGTATCATTAATTAATGAATACCGTGGATTTTTTGGTTGGGATGTGCATTTGCAAATGTTTCTTTGGACTAAATATTGTCTTGGAGTCAATACTGGTCAAAATATGTCAGCAAAATGAGAAGGTTGAATAAAGTCCCCCGCTGCACCTCTGCTTTATCCCTGATCCACCAGTTGATCACGTCTCCCTATATCAAAGCTCAAGACACAGGGTAGTTGCATCACAGACAGATGAGTGGTTACATCACCCGTTTCAGACCAGCCTTCCTCAGGCTTTTTGTGCATTCATACTTTATGCCGGCAGTATGGTTATAAATTGTGTGTGACTTTTCCTAAAAAGGCAAAGTCAACAGGTTTTTTTTTTTTTAATTTGCAATTTGGCATCTACATAAGTTGTTGCTCAATTCTCGCACACTTAACAGATGTAAACTGAGGATTTCCCACAATGCTTTTTTATACACTTTTTGGCCCTCCTCTGAAGATATGCAGTGACTTGACATATGAACAAAATCCACTGTCACCACCCGCCTTTCCAACAAAGCGACACGAGTGGGCGGTCTGTCTCTGTCACTGTAGCTCCAACGCGTTCATTTTCCCAGGACCAGTCGGTGTCTTTTCCTGTCACTCGAAAATCATCGTCATAGAAATTTGATGCGGAACTCTGTTGCATTTCCGTGTTGCATCGCCAGTTGCCAGTCCCGGTGGGTGGCTGGACACGGAGCCAAAAAGAGAGGTCAGAGAGGTGGAGATGTTTGCAGACAAACATAAAGACTGAGAAGAAAAACACTGAAACATGGATGCAGGGCAAGCCAGTGGAGAATATGGAAACACACATAGCAGGCAAACAGAAGACAGAGAGTCAGATATGCAGATAAACAGAGCAGCCTGTCGGCTGTCAGACAAATACTCTTGCCAGACAAGCATTCGGGAATAAAAGCACTATGCCAGACAGTGAGTGTCACTCTATTGTTTGGCACACTCAGAAGTTTATAAATGCTCAGAGGGATTGGAGATGACGTCCAAAATCAGCATGTAAGAATAAAGTGAGGCAAACCATTCAGAATAATTGTGATACTTGGAAAAATCAGCATAAGGCTTCCATTTCCTCCCATGTCCATTTCATTTCTCTGAATGAGCGGCTGAGTGGCTAAAAATGATTGAGCTGGAGGAGAGACAGGCACAGGCTGCGGCCGGACATGCAGGTCCGCGGACGGGCAAACTCTGTCAGAGCACGTCGTCACAGTTCAGCGAGATGAAGGGAGACGCTTCCGGAAAAAAAAAAAGCAGAGGGAGTGAATGTGTCTCATCCCACCGAGCTGCGGAGAAGTGGCCTCTGAGCCGGGTGACAGATTACAGGTCACTCATGTTGCCACGGAGATTGCCATGGCTGGCGGAGATGAATCACCCATCAGCATTCTTCTGTAAACCATCAATCACCTCTGGCTTCTCACCATAGGCACCGACGCCCCACCCATGCGCTCACACACACACACTTGCACACACACACCTTCAAAGCGGATGTAGCGTGAAACCACACAGTGGATGAGTTCTGCTGACGAATTGACTGAAACTCTGTGAGAATACAGAGGCCTCTCATATTCTGCTCCTCTCTGGCAGCAGTGCTTTTTTTTTTTAACCCTCTTTTCCTTCATCCTCACACATCACTTTGACTGTCATTTCCATGGAAGTCATCTTCTTTGTCATCTGCTCCTTCTTCACCTGTCCGTGTCTCTACATCTCTGCTTCCTCTTAGTCAAAGAGTTCATCCCCCCTCCATAGCTCTTTATGCCACAGCAGTATATCAGTGTCCTGTGCCTCGCTGGGCATCTTGCTGCCCAGCACAACAGAGCAGGCAAATCACTGCTGACATTTTAAAAGGCACTGGATCAAACGGCCCACTGTGGGCCGGGTATGAGGAAGCACCATTTGTTCAATGACTTTAACATCCCAGTGGACATTATCATTTGTCTCTGGCCTGGCCGGCTAAGAGGACAGGTTAAATCACAGTGACAAGTAAAAGCCACAAGCATAAGTCTAATCAGCTTGCCGGTTTCCTACTCTGGACTGTGTAATGATTCATATCTGTCTTTGTTTCTGTTATTGACTTGTTTGAAGGAGCATATGTGTACAGTTTGAATGGACAGTTTTCAAAGCCTCCTTTAAGTTTGCACATTTAGTTTCAAATGCATCTCAAATGTATTGATTTGATTTTTCTCTCATTAATCAACACACAGTGATCAACAATGTCCAAACAAAAAAAGGGCTGGATTTATTTTCTAATTAAAATGTTATTAAAGATAACAAACAGAAAAACTCTTCACATATCAGTTAAAACTGAGCTCTTGTGGATCTCTCCTCAATCAACAGCACTTGACTGCAAACCGCCGCTGCCTTGTTGTATTTACTGGACGGACTTTAAAAAGACACACAGCTGTCTAGTTTTTGTGTCTCTGTGTGTACGTGTGAGTAAAAACCATCTCAAAGCTGCACTGAGCACAAGCCTGGGTTGAACACAGGAAAATCCCTGCAGAATTTGGTGCCAGAAAGCAAAGTCTCCATCATGTTAAGAATCTGTGGCACTGGACGCTACTAATGAGATCTTGACAGTAGAGTGACCAGACAGAAGGTATTCTTCAAAACAGAACTGTGTACAGACAAGAGCTGTGCACGAAGGCAAAAAGGCTCCGAGCATGAAAACTGATCTGAATAATTAGGTAAACATTAAACTTCACTGAACCTGGTGTAAATGTGCAGTTAGTTTGACTTTTTCTGCCAAATGAATTGGGAACATCTAAAGGAAAGATGAGCCATGCTTCTGGGATCCTTTCCAAGAAAACTTGAGGCTGCTTGAAACGCACTATCCAATTAGAGTATCTTCTGAAATTTGTTTTTCAGTGCTTTTGAATGTAATAACTTATCAGACAAATTTTTTTTTTTTTTTCTGTTGTTGTTAAGAATGATCAAAGAAAAGAATGAATCCACTAGGATGAATCCAAATCGTCTCTGAAAACCTCTCCGTCCTTCACTGTCTATTTTTTTTAACTTTCAGGTATCGAACATTTGTTTCTGAGGACGCAGGCCCAAACACTCTTGTTGCGACAGTTCTGGCCAAGGATCCAGACGGCGATGGCATAACGTACACCATAACAGCGGGCAACGAGGAGGGAAACTTTGTCATTGACAACCAGAAAGGTGATATTTCTTAGTTTTCCCGCCACGCTTCCTATTTGCACCTCTCACGCTAATTGACAGGCTTTCTATCAACCGACACACTCAATTTTATCTAATGCTCCCTTTCTGCAGCATTGTGCTTAGAATGCCCTCTACTTTCAAAGTCAATGCGAGAAGATATTGAAAGTTGATATTAAATGCTGTAATTTCTACACAAGTGCTGCTCTCTCTATTCTTAGTATAAGAAATATAATCTATAGTACAATTTAGGGAATTTCCACATTTGATTTTTCTTTCGAGGAGTGCAGAAAGGAACAAACCACATGTTTCTCGGCTTTCTAGCATTAGTGGCTGCACAATTTATCTTTTTTATTTACCCTTTGATCCGAAACCAGTGGCAATCGCTGTGACATTTGTCACCCAACCCTTTCAATTCAATTTCACAACAACTGCTCTATCATAGCTTACAATCTTCGGGCTCTGCTCCGCCAGCTCCTCTTTCTTTTGTGTCATCTCTTTATATTCCATTCCATCCTTTCCCTGAATTCCGAGAGAGAGAAAACGGTAAGCCTCATCTTTAAGATGCAGGGAATTCACTAAATGTCTTCATATGTATGCCTCCATGTATATGGATGATTATTTACATTTATGCACACATTCTCACACTCACTCACACACACACTCACACACACATACACTCACACACACACAGATATGTATATAAAGGAATAAATAAACTGTATATATATATATATAATGCAGAATCCTGGATCATTTATTACCTGATAGAGCTAGTGTTGCCTTTGTAAACAAGGTTGACATTTAAGCATAGGAAGAACTCTGTAAACTGCATCCCACAGTTTATTTGCTTTAATGCCAGGCTGCAGAGCCATGGATTGTCATTAAGAGCTTGGGACCTTTCCTGTGGATGCACAAGTGACAAGGAAGAGTGTGTATCTGCATGCTGTGTTTTCTTTAATCATATGCATTGAAAGAGATAAATAGAAAACCCAACAAGAAAATCAAAAACCTCCCCCTGTTCTCACTTCAATGGCTCTCCCCCACTTCACAGGCAGCTTGCTCGTCCTGCAACCTCTGATGTTTTTGTGTTACTGTTGACGAGAAAGATGTTGACTCAGATGCTCAGTGCTTTCATCCGACCTTTTATCTTGACTGTTACATGAAAGAACACAAAGGAGGGAAGAGGAACAGCTAATAGGCCTCTGCTGAGCCAGGTCAACTTCTAACTGGAATCTCTTTAATACTTCGTGTTTTCAAGTGCTTGAGTTTGATGGGCATATTTAGAGGAAAGCAGGAATGTGACAAAATCCCATCTTTGGAATCGGTTCCAGGACCCAGTCTGCATACCAGAGTTTACCTTTATGTGGGTTTACCATCTCACTCCAGACTACTAGAACAACAGCATGCAGTATGCATTTTCTGTCGTGTTTTATTGATAGCACATCCCATTTGTTGCAAGGCCACTGTGGCAATAACATCCTGCTTAATGACTAATGGATTGGATGTACATGTTCAGTTATGATGCACCATATTTTATAACGTGTATATTAATGGATCTGTTCTCCCTGTAGGGTTGATTCGTCTCCGCTCCACTCCACTGCCCAAACTTCAAGGCTTGGAGTACATCCTGAATGTAACGGCCACAGACGACAATGCGTCAGGCGGGCTGCACCCCCTCTCCTCCACTGCCCGGGTCATTGTAGGAATCGATGATGTCAACAACAACAAGCCGATATTTGAAGAGGTGAGAGTCTCTCCTTATAGCAAAACTGCTACATTGTTTAATATATTCATGGCCATGTTCTGACAGAAATGACAGAGGTCGATCCTCTTTTTTTACACGACAAGTTACTCTGCAGCTATCTGAAAATCCACTCAGTTTCCTATACCATTGGGTAAAAAGATTAACTGTCTACACCAGTTTTTAGTCTTTATGCTATGTTAAGGTAGCCACCCACAAGCTTTTATGAGGTCAGAGTTGAGGTGTTACAGCAGTTTATAGTGTGCCTGGGCACACAGTGATGCTACTCTGATCCACCTCTGTTTGCTTCAGTTCATTTGCACTGATATAGTGCCACTGCTGTGTGAAAGGGGCTATTGATTCTAGCAAACATAAAAACAATATAGACAGAAATAACTTATCTTTTCCAAAAGCAGCAACAGTGTGCTGTCACATAGCTGAGCGCCTTCCCAAAAACATCACACTGTGTCTTTAAAATATTTTTTGCTGCCGTTTCTGCCACCAAGTTAGTTTCTTTCAACTATAAAAGCGTGAATCAGCCATAGGAGTTCATCCCCTCTCCTACCTTATCAAGTTGTCACTGCTTTGTGAAAAACGTTTTCAAATGTTAGGCTTCATTCTTATTATGTCCTGTAAAGGAGTGGCACAGGCACAATATGAAAGGGCCCCAGTTTCTTTAGGTCTAAGGCATAAAGACATTGTTAACAAATCACAATGGATGTTTTTATGGAAAAGATCACAGGATCTGACAGCAGTTAAAGCTTCCCTCAGGGTGGGCTGAGGCAGAAACTACGAACAAATTTAATCCGTCAAGTCTAAACAAAAAAACCCCTCCTAAGCAAAATAGGAGTAAACACAGTAAGCCAGCGTCCCAGCTAATCTTGGGAAGAGAAAAGGAGAATGAAAACAAATGGCAACCCGTTCCTATGAACGTCACATGTTCACAGCATGGTTAGGGCTTTTTTTCCAACATTTTTAACACCGCTCAAATTATTATTATTTCAAATTACAAGTAGTTTTATGTTCAAAATTATTTAAAGCATGTCAATATGTGAAAAGAAGAAAATGCAGTGGTCTTGAACAAAATTCCTTCAAAGCATTTGCATGTCCTGATATTCTTGTTTACTCAACAACCAGCTGTGTACTGCTCCATGTTTCTGGAACCTCTGTTGAGATTATTTGTTGTTGGGATTTCAGAAAAAATTAGATGACGATATTTAGCTCCAGTGACTGGATGTGAGCTCTTGCTCTTCTGTGCTTTTTTACCTGATCTACCAGTCAGTCTCGTATTCTGAGTGAATTTTGGATTTTCCTCTTTGACTCACTTCTTCCTTCCACCCTCCTTCTTCACAGCTCTGTTATTTTCAAAATAATTTCCCTGGCCTCTGTCTATCTCCACTTTAGTTTCCCATGGGTTATGATTAGCCTGCACTCTCACTCTATCTTTGGGCATTCCAAAGGGATTTCATTGAATTCATTGAAAAAAGTGCAGGATCATCACAATATTCTACACCTGTTTAATTAACTTCATCCTTAATTAGGCATGACTTGAACTTGGGTGGGATAGACAATGTTTGGAAGCTTCCAAGGTCTTTTGGGTTGTGTTGGTAACTCTTGGTAAGTTTATCTAGATATATGCTTCAGAACTGAATGGGCTGACCTTATGTTTTATCTAATTTTATTTTTCTGAACAGTTACCTATGGGCCCTGCCGTCTTTGCCATCATGTTCCACGAACTCCTGCATTATAAACTCTTGCTCACATCCTTTGATCCCAACCCTCTGTTCCCATGTTGCTACTCCTTTCCAGTTGTTTTTCTTACTCATGGTCATTCTATTGAAAGAGTAGCTTGCATTTATATCTGATAGCAGATAGGATATATACTCCGAAGTTTGGCTCTTAATCTGGCCTATATGTTCATTTGAGGAAATGGATTAATCTTTTTGCCGAGACAAATCTTTTTTGCTGCCGGCTCTTCAAGAAAAATCAATTAAAGTATTTTCATTTCCATTGTAGAGAGATGGTCAATCAAGTAACTGCTGCATTGTGCTGATGCAGTGTACCTCCCTGAGCAGCAACAGTACTGACCTTCTACCAAATTAGTTTATTTTCTTTGATCCCCGAATGCTCATTATGGACACAAATTCAGACTGTATATGAACAAAGTCTTTCTCGTATTTATTTGTCTCCATTGTTACCTTTCCCCTTTCTTTATCTCAGTGCCAGCAGTACCGTGAACAGGCTTCAGTACTGGAGAACCAGCCAACGGGGACTCTTGTGTTGCAAGTGCATGCCGAGGATGCAGATGAGGGAGCAAATGGAAAAGTCAAATATGGCTTAATGCACAGAGACAGCGCCATGCCTGCCTTCAGAATCCATCCAGACACAGGTAGCGCAGTCATAGATTGCTGTAGGAGAAATTGGTCACAATTATATGAAGAATACAGGCTATCCTGTAGATTGCCAATGCTGTAGGTTAATGATATCTGGCATCTTTAATGGTGATTTTGAAAAAAAAAGTGTGAGATGAGAGGAGATGCTGCATGGAGAGACGTAAGATAATTACTTAATCCCATTTTACCTGTTCCCTGAAACCACTTAGCCCTGTCCCCCCATTATAAGCATTCATACCAAGAGCTAGTGTGCCCCATGCATCCCTGGACGTTTGGGTTTGGGTGAGTGATGAGACTTCATGGCCGTTAAAATTTAAGCATTTCAAAAGCACTCCTCAAAAAAAGTGTTGACAAGTTATTATACAATCAACAGACATCTCGGTTAATGACAAAGAAAGTGTGTTAAAACGGGTTCTTTATTTTGCATTCAAGTAGTCGCTGCCATTAAATATGCTGCATTTGGCTGACTACAATAGTATCTAGAGAATTCCTAGATGATCACCACAAATTAAGCCACAGAAGCAGTACCATTAAGAAATAAAATTTGGGTAAATGTATTTATCATTAAATGTACCATTCACAGGAAGAGAAGTCGAATGGTGAAGCCATAAAAACCTGATGTGTGGTCAGTATAACATAAACATATAGTGACAGGAAAAGGTAAATAAAGAAGCTACTGTGAAGTCTGACCACGTGAAGTCAGTGCGCTAGTCCATCAGTCATTTTTCCTCCAATCTTCCATTCTATCTCCTCCATCTCAAGATTTAATAACAAAGTCACTGTACTTGAAAAGAATGCAATATTTACTCAAACTAAATTAATAATTGTTTACTTGTCTAGACTTATGGATGGATGATGGATGGATGGACTCAGTTGAGAGAATTGGGGAAAGTGCTGAATGGATGAATGAATTTGTATTCAATCATGTGTGTATGTTTAGCGGGGTTGCTGTACGGGCTGATTATGTTTCTGACTTCACAGGAGTGATTGTGACAGCCCGGCGATTCGACAGGGAGCGGCAGAGGGAGTACTCCATTACAGTAACGGCCACTGATTGGGCAGAGGAGCCACTCATTGGCATCTGTCAGCTCACCATTCAGATCCTTGATCAGAATGATAACAGCCCCAAGTTTGAAAATTTGCGCTATGAATGTAAGTGTCGGGTATACATTATTCATGCCAGTATCCAAATAAAATATGAACAGTAAAGCTGAGGCCAAGGCAAACACTGATAGACACAGATTAACAGAGTGAGATTAAGTCCAGAGGTTATTCAGCATGCCCTCACATTCGTTTAGTAGAGAAATTTAATTTAAAGAGCTCAATTATGCTATGAAAGAGTTATTTGTTTTTAATCTTTTGGGAATTGCAATTAATGTGATTTACTATTTTTCTTTTCTTTTTTTAATACAAGCAAACCTGACAACATTCAGTTTGCACACTGTAGTTCATCTATCACATTTTGTGTGAAACAAGGCTCATTTTGAACAAAGTGGTTGGGGCAAGCGCAATCAGGAACCTGGGAAGAACTGATTTGCTTTTCCACTGTCAAAGAGCCATACCAAGCCACTTCATTATAGCGGTCTAAACAGCTTTTCCAATACACATCAGAACGTCCCTGAATTATTGATTGTATCCTGAAATTCTGCGCTCGGAAAATGGTTTATCTTCACAGAAGCAAGCAAATATTCTAATATAGCCAGACTGGTTTACGAATGCCTTTTAAAAACACATAACTGCATCCATACAATACTGGCCAGCAAAAGAATTCACAGAGTTTTAACAAATACAAAAAGCTGTAACATACTGAAAAAAGCTAAAAACATAGGATAGCCTCTTTCAATGTATTAGTCAAAGGTTTGAACCTTTTCCAGTGCAAACATAATAAATGTTGCTTATTCGTGTTGCATTATAAACAATATCCCAAGTCATTGTTGTAATCCTTTTCACTCAATTCGGTACTATCAAAAACTGTATTGTTGCTCTTTGAATATCAACTTCTCTGCACACGTTATGCCTGTCCTCGGTAGATTTTCTGAGAGAAGACACCTTGGTCGGTACCAGTTTCCTCCGTGTAGCCGCTCACGACGATGACTTCGGCACCAACGCAGCCGTCACTTATTCCATGTCGCTGGAGCAGCCGGAGTACCTGCAGGTCAACCCTGTGACTGGATGGGTCTACGTTAACCAGCCAATATCTCAGGTTTGTCAGGAGTTACACACTCACGACACACTCGTAGAGTCAGACGAGACGGTGGCCTGCAGGTTTTTTTAAAAACACCATTCTGAGGTGTGGAGTCTTTCAGAGATGCTGCATGTACCTGTGGAAGTATCAGAAAGAAATAATTCAGGCCAATTTGAAAAGAAATCTAACAAGCTGAGATTGCCATGGTTTTATTGATGTCTTTGATACAAAGCTTGGTTACAAGATGCACAATGCCTTTTATTCACAAGCTGTCACAGTTTTTCGGGGGTCTTAATGAAATGTCAGGATTTACTTTGATCAAATTACGAGAGACTGTAAAACAGCTTTTTTTTCTTCCAATTATTTACACCTCTATTCAAGTGGATAATTTTAGCATGCAGAATGACCCACTTAAGATCATTCTGCCTCTCTTTTCCTCAGGGTCTGCCTCTTTTGAGATCAGTAATACCTAATAACTGTTGGAGAGCACATCATTACAGTATGGGAGAGCAAACTGTAAATAGCACGAGAGCTCAGACCACACACCAACCCACTCACAACTGTGTACTGAAAGACTTGAAATCTCATTTGCAGTTTGCAGTCGCCGTCCTAATAAAACATAATAATAATAACACACCACAATTCCGAAATAAATATGTTGCTCCACGTTGTTTCAACCAGATTTTCTTTTTGGGTAACAAAACATTGATAAAATCTCTCGTGTCGCCATATTTGCAAAAATGTTGAAAACTGATATCAACAGAACAGAAAAGTAGAACAGTTGTATATTCTAACTTTTTTAATAATTTCCGCTTGTTGATCATTGAGCCAGGAGAAATCCTGTGGCAAAATGTTCAGTCTTGTAATTAAATGCCATTAAAATCTGAAAGAAACATGAATATCAGTGCAAAAATTATCCAAAACGTGTCACATCTCTGTATGAAATCAAGGTAACGGACCAACAGAGCTTTGTCAAAAGCTGGTATAGAAAGACAATAGCTGATTAAGCTGGGATCAAAGGCCGTGCAGGGTACAGGTGAGGACAGCTGGTGTGCGGCACAGCTGTCTGCCTTAAGGCCAAAAACTAAAGTTCTATCCCCACTTTTAAGGCTAAATAAGGTTAAAGCACGTTTCAGGATGTACCTAGCTTTGTGAAACGCCTGAGAATCTGTTTATAATAAGACATTTTTGGTGAGTGATTGTAGTTATTTGTCTCTATGATGAACCAGTGACCGGTCCTGGGTGGACCCCTCCCCTCACCCAGTGACAGCTGGGATGAACTACAGCCCCCAGCAACCCTATTAGGAATAAGCAGTATTGCAAATGGATGAATGGATTAATCTTTCATATAAATTCCAATTCAAAAGCTTTTAGACATACAAGCATTATGTCTTTTACATATATCATTTTACAGAAATTGGAACGCGGAGCATGGCAGTTTTTATCTGGTGGTGAGGTCCTGCTGTTGTTCTACAGCCATATAACTTCAAATATCTGTACCTGTCCCAGCTTGGTTGTGTTTGTTGTACTTTTTTAATGTCATTGCAAGGTCCATGGCATCCATCAGAGTGCTTACTAGCAGGCTGTGTGCAGGTACAATTCAGCATGACAAGTTCACTCTTAAAAATGAGGGAGGCTGAGGCTCTCTTTCTTAATGTTAAAAAAACATGAGAACTCTATATGAAAATATTAATGGAGCTCATGTTAATGCTGACCTTAATGTGTTAATGCACACTGAGCAGAGATAATGAGAACATTGTCAAGATAACCTTGTAAAGTGATGTAAGTTCACCCTCACTGATTAGCTCACTCAGTGTCACATTTTCATATATGGCTACCCAAAAACAAGATCCATCCATCCAACAAGATTTTTAATGGCTGGAACATAATTCTTCAACGCTAATTATCACACAACTCGGTCCACTGTAATTACTCTGGCTTTGATATATTAAATACAAGCATTTTTGTGTCATGATTTATCATCTGAGGCAATGATGAGAAGGCAGCAGAAGCTTTGTGCAATTTAGGGTGACGCATCAATTTTGCAACCCCTTGAAGATTCTGCTTGCATCCTGAGTTCCACCATCTTTGGATAAACTAAAACACAAGAGATATCATCCACTTTAGATAACACATGCACAATATCAAAACTAGCTATTTTTTGTGTGATTCATTTTAAATGCCAATCCATATGATAACTATGAAAAACCTACAGAGACAGGCAGGCTGGCCTTCACTCCCTGCTGTTAATCAACAGTTTTCTTTGGATTTCAAGCACTTTATTGTGTTTTGGTGAGTGATGCAACTCACTATTTACATTTTTCATAAATGCATTCAAAAGTATTCTATTGCCAATGTTTCACTACAATTCTTCCTGTATTTTTATTATTTTTTTTTTTTTTTAGCAAATCAAAAAGAGTTCCTCAGTGAAAATACACTGGCACAGTAGGGTTGTTTATTATTTAACATACCTCTCAGAAACCTGATGTTTTACGTCTCGGCCAATATTGACTTCATGTACTTACCACTGACTTCATGCAAAATTGAAAGTGTTAAGGCCAAAACCTCACTAACCAAAGATGCTGCATATTTTAGGATGGTTTCAAAAGTGATTTAAATCATCCCACAATCTTTGTGCTGTATCTAAAATTCTAAAAGTACCTCATTAAATTTTAAAATGCCAGGAGGTCTGTGACCAGGTTGTAGTTTGAATTTCTCATTAGTTCCTAATTTCATTGTAACCGGTTTAAGAACAAACTGTCTTAACGGTTAATGTACTGAGTAGTTGCAGGCTTTGGGATACAATGGCTGCCTTTTATGTGAAATATGGGTGAGATGGAGTACAGGTATTTTTATGTGTTTCTGTAAGACGCAGCCCACATATCAAAACACAGTAAGTTCCACAGAGAATTAAGTGGAGAGGATGAAAAGATTTAGGAAGTAAAACGCTGTAATTAAATTTCAAACCTTTTGTTGGGTGCTATTACGTAACGCTGTTTCTGCGGGGGCCTCTTTGGACAATTACAATATTCACTCCCATTTTGGGTAGTTTGATAATGTCCACAGTGGAGTTCATCTTGCAAATTTAGAGCTAGCAATCAACTGTGGGCGGCTTGATCACTCAGTGCCCCAGTTTGGATTACACTGTTTATCAGTTTGAATATGTCGAGATAATTCTTGAGAGTTGATTATTTTGTAATTTGTCAGACAATTATTCTCAGAAGTGATCATGAAAGTGTTTGATAGTGGTTCCAATCGAAGTTTGGCACAGCAATTCTTTACCACTGTTTTTTATTTTTTTCTCTAGCGTCAAGTTTTAAAGAGAGCCAAACAAATTAAGCCAAAGCATTATAAATCCTATCAAATCTTATCTAAAAAAAATTGATTTAGTCTGACTGATCGACTAAACAATAATTACTGACTGAAATAATCACAAAAACGCGGCGGTGTGAGTGTGGGCTCTGTAACTCTGCAGACCGTTTATCTGCATAAAAACAAAACTGAATTTTAAGACTCCGAAAAATAAATAAGTTATTTTCATTGAATGCATCACCAGTCACCGTGACTTGATTCCCCTGTTGTGTATTTGAGTAACCCATACCATCATGATTCTTTTCACGACTGAATTGTCGCTGTTGTCCACAGAGGACGTACATCACACGGGACATCATCGCAACAGATGGAGGAAATCGCAGCACTTCTGTGGAGATGGCAGTCACCATCACTAACGTGAAGAACCAGCCACCACAGTGGGAAAAAGACAGCTATAGCGTCATAATACCAGAGAACACTGCCAGGGACACACCTATAGTGGTACGACTGCATGCAACTTTCAATCATAAAACCAGTGTCAGGACCCACACTGTCATGCTTCTTTTCTTCCTATTGGGCGTTACTGGAAGTGAATGAAGCGTTTTTTTTTGCTTGCTCTTTCGGATTATTGCAGAGTGTGATGGTTATTTTTCCCCCGTGCTTATAACACACTTTTGAAAGCTTGTCAGTGCATAATGTCAGTCTATAATAGATTGATGCTGTAGGAAAAAGCTGACATTCATCCACATGTAGTAAGCAGGTTTTATGACTGGAGGCCAATTAGATCTATTAGAAATATCTTTGATGTAAGAGATGCGTAGCTGTCAATCTGAGGAATGAAAAAAACCGTCAAGGTTTTCACAAAGGGAGTCACTTAGAGATAAGAGGTTATTTCAGGATCAAGACAACAGGTTTGACTTTCATCCTACTATAGCTCTTACTCAGGTGATCAATCATTGCAATACATGTAATAAAAATTTGACACAACCCTTGACTTTTTCAGACTGCAAACCCCACATGCAGACTGACCCAGTTCTTGTACCCTGTCAGATGAGAACAAATGTTACCCAGGCGAACTCAAGAGTTTGACATGTGGGAAATAGGCTTATTTGCTTCTTTTCCCTTGAATGTAAAGATTGATAACGCTGCGTGTCTGCTAGCTGAGAAGCTGTAGCCTACAGGAAGTTTGTTTGTTTCAATAAATAGCTTAGAAAACTGTTCAATTGGCATTGTCCAAAGTCAGAAAGGCGTGCCTAACGGCAGTCCCGAAGCACACTAATTAACAATTAGTATCTCATGTGTTTTGCCAGATTAACTTTGTTACCAGCTTTAATGCTAAACTAAGGTAATCGCCTCAAAGCTCCTTCTCACACAAACACCAGAGCAGTATCATCTGAATAAACAAAAGAAGCACATTCACTGAAATACACAACGATTCCCCAAAGTACAGAATGATACCCATTTTAAACAACTCAAAGCAGTTTAGAGCCAAGAAACTACTAACATGGTCTTAAGATTGGGCCAATTTCTCTCTCTGTCTAAGTGCACAAAAAGTCAATCTGCTCACTAACTGGCATCTTATGTATTTTGTTTCATCTGTGCAGAAGCCTAGGCCTAAAAGGCCTGCGATCGTTTGATAAGCTAAAAGCTTTCGTTAGTCCTTGGCAGGATTGGCTGACCTCACTTCTTTTTGCAACTACGAAATTGCAAAATGAAAGCTGTGATGAAGCTTCACCGTACGCCAAAGTGCAAGGAGAGGGGGAAAAATACACAGGTCAACACTACGGCAGCACAACAGCATTTAAGGAATTTGTTCATAAACTACGCTTCTTTGCCTCCTTCCAGAGAAAATCAATAACAAATTCATGTGTGTCCAAATAATATTGGGCAAACATAACAACCCTGTAATTTCACAGTTCCGGAAATCAAAACTGAAGAAAAACCGTATGTGTAACAACTTTATGAGACAAATGCATCCCCATCATCAGGGTCATCGTAAAGCATTGAGTTAAATGCCTTTTAAATGAGTATAAAAGAAATGTGGCACCAAACAAGTCACGATTTCTCACATAAATCAACCAGCATGACATCTGAAGGGTTGGGTTGCTTGCTTTGTTTGGCCACATTTAAATATTCATCTTACAAACTTTCTGAAAAAGTAGTTCACTGAGTTGTCATTGTTCATTCCCCTGGAGATGCACTTGAGATTCAGAACAACATTTTCTATTTTTTCTTGTGTACATTTACATGACTGTGTGTTCACAGCTCATAGAAGCTAAAGATTAAACTAGTCTCCTTGAAGTGTTTTTGTATAACTTTGTTCTTAGTTGCAGTGGTGTAGGTGGAACAATCAAGTCTAACAGAAATTTTGATCCTTTAAACTGAATGTTACTCATAGATTGGCAAATCCAATTTTTTTCATTCTTTTAACTTTCACATAAAAATATCTTTAGTATTATGTTTAAAAGTAAATTAACGTAATGCACGCTACTATTCAAAAACTGTAAACGTCGGTCTGATATTAAGATCTCAACTAAAGAAATAAAGACAAAAGTCTTACTAACAAGGTAACAAGGTTGTAGACATTAGTGTTAATATGACAAAAATCCAAATAGTTATCAGTGCAGGAGGCTACGACTGGGTCATCTTGGAATAATTAATAACCAAGAATCTTTTTTCATACAAATAAGGCTGAAAACACGACACAGCATTTTAATGTGGGAGTCTAAAAAGCATATATCTCTCAGTTTAACCTCCTGTTATGGAAACAATGGGTAAGCTAGGTCTTTGTTTCTGAAAGAAGACATTGTTAAACAACTTCAAGTGATAACAGATTTCTTGGTTGAATTATGTCTGCACAAACATTAAAGAAACTAAGTGCTATAATTACATTTAGATAATTAAATAGACAATTATGGAGATCCAAAATAGTTTTTCCCCAGAATATGTGTAACCCATGTGATGTTTTTTTTTAAGTGTATATTATTGTTTCTTATTTCATTGATAACTTTTCATTTACATCTACCTTTAAATCACTGTCACTTGAGAGTGAGTCTGTTTGTCATCATGTGGGTTTATTTTAGGGCAAAATACTTCATTTAAATATGGGTGTCAGCTGGTGAGTGTACTTTATGAATAATTTATGGGCCAGATACAGTATAAACTCCTCCTCTTAATGGACACACTCCTGTTCTATTTTCCATTCCTGGGAGTACAACTGCCTTGAAATATGTCATTTTAATTAGCCTACTATTCAGATGCTGCATTACTTTATACGTTTCTAAATGAGTTGTTGGTCTGAATAGTTTCAGTTTCCCTTTCTGTTTTAGCTTTTTTGCATTCGACATCTGTTGCTGAAGTGTTTCATTCTGCAGCTGTGAGATGACTTGGATGAACTTTTGGGTGTTAAATAGACAGGCATCAAATTGCTATTGATTTTCACAGCAAAAAATAAAATATCAATCTAATTATTTAAATTGAGAACATTGTGAGGTATCACAAAGGTTGGAAAAATAATCTCAAGGGATTAAACTTCAGAGCAGATTCTCTATTATTTCTGTGACAATCAATAGCGTTTTGGTAATGATTCACCAAGTACTTTTTAAATTTTTTTTAGTATATTATTACAGTTATTATATTGTTTCAGCCTTACCTGAGATCTAGGTAAAGTTAAATCATGATCCAACTCCCCCTCCTTTTCAGACAATCAAGGCAACTTCTCAGTTGGGTGACCCACGGGTGACTTACAACCTTGAAGATGGCATGGTTCCTGAAACCAACATGCCAGTTCGTTTCTACCTCTCCCCCAATCGGGAAGATGGCTCTGCATCTATTCTGGTTTCTGAGCCCCTGGACTACGAGACCACTCCATTTTTCTCTCTCCAGGTCCGGGCACAGAACGTGGCAGCAGTTCCTCTCGCTGCTTTCGCAAGGGTTTATGTTAATGTTACAGGTATATTTTATACCCTTTTCTTATCAAATATTCGAGCGAGGGAGAATGATATCGTTCCATTAGAAACTGGTGTATGCATCTGTTTATTTTTGATGTTGTATAATGAATTATAGTGAGATTCAGCATCAAAGTGAAACAAATTGGTATGGCGGAAAGATAAGACAACACTTTCATGCAGTTAATTAATTTACCATTGTGTAGTAGTAGTAAAGTAAAGATGTCTCCTGGGACACATCCACATACTTGAACTTAATTCAGATATGCCGTCTCAATTTGAAATAATTACTGTGCTACCATATCTCTGTTCTTTTCTAAGATGTCAATGACAACGTGCCATTTTTCACATCCTCCATCTACGAAGCCTCAGTAACTGAAGGAGCCCAGATAGGGACTTCAGTTCTCCACGTGTCTGCTCACGACAAAGACCTGGGTCTTAATGGAGAGGTTTGTAGAGATCTGTTTGTGTTCATGCTGGGAAAGAACTGAAAATGACAAGCTACCACAAAAATCTCTCCAGCCAAATCCACAGAGACCTGTTTTCTTGCTACACCATCCCCGTCACACCAGAAGGAGCATCACATCATGCTTCGATCCCTCCAGCGTGGGGGCTGTTCCACTGTTGTTCAAATTTTGAAGGGGTGTTAAGAGGTGTTGTCATCAGTTATCAGAATGATCGTGTTAACATTAGCAGAACAAACTGTATTGATTTGAATCCCAGAAGGATTCTGGGAATATCGGGGAGAGCCCCAGACATTTTCAGAGCTGGTTCCTCTAATTTGCGATGTTACTGCAGGTAATTGCTTGATAGTATGCTGTAGATTACTTTTCAAATTACCCGTGCTCCACAGATCACTTACTCTCTGCTGAACGACAGCAGTGGCGACCACAACTTGTTTCGCATCGACCCAAAACAAGGCATCGTATACACGGAGGCTGTGTTTGACCGTGAGGCCCGCAGCTCCTACTTACTGGAAGTTCAGTCAGAAGACGGCCAAGAGTCAGCCCGACCTGGAAAAAACAAACAGCCCAACACAGGTTAGAAAGTATGAGGATGAACTGATTGATGAATGGATGCATTTATTTTAAGTTACTTACTTTACAACAGTAAGCCTTTATGTTTAGATTACACTAAATATGAGGGAAAAGTTTAAATCAGCTGGTGTCCTCCTAATGTCAACATAAATGAATGGTTTTAAAAAGTAGCATGGCGTGCCATCGTTGAAGTGTTTTAGGACGTAAGGGGTAAAAAAAGGTTCAAGCACTGGAAGTTTGTCATCCTATATGACAGGTATGTGTCATATATAACAGGAAACAAACGCTGACTCTTCTGGATTTCACTTGTAGGGAGACCATATGCATATGTCTAACTAGAGGGTAATTCGTCATTGTTTCTATGTAAACGTGTGTGATATCCCATAGAGTTTCTAATTCTGTTAACATAATACAATTATACCTGTCTCTTTCTAGAGGTGACAGGTATATACTGGTTGCTCCTGAGTCACACAAGCCTTGAACTTTGCTTTACGTAAGTGTGGAACAGCCATTGAAATTGTCTCTCAAAACTTAACACGTTTTTTTAACTGTACAGTGTGTGAAACTGGAGCTGTCTTTGCAGAAAAACTGAAAGAAGTGTGAAACACCCTCTTGAGTAGCAACTACTTGGCTTTTCAACCTTTTCTTATTCACACAATGTGTTGATCTGCAAGCTTGCCTAAAAATGGCCCATAAAACCAACCAATGTATTAAAGACGACATGATAAAAATGATTTAATAGTAATGAGAAAAGAACAATCCTCTTATAACTATGTACAATATCCTGCTCTGCGCTACAGTGGGCAAAACCAATGTTTCTTTTTTACACACTTAGCATGATGACATGATGCTTTCAGTCTGTTAAATGTCCTCAGTAAAAGTGAGCACACCTGCAATCACACACCTCCTAGGTCCAAACCTTTAAAGATATTTGGAAATCATGAATATCTTAATCTATTCCTCAATAATAGATACAAGAACATTAACCACATGTATGGATTTACAAATCAATCTTTGTTTCTCACGGGGAAGAAGTTTAGCTCGGTCGCACTTAGCTGTTAATGATCACTCCCAAAAGATATCTGAACCTTTCTAAACTAAAAGCCTGCCATATCATCAAGTGCAATAAGAACTCTGCACCACTTCCTTCTATGTCGCTTCGGATAAAATGGGAATAATATTATGAACACCAAAGTTGTGCGTTCCATCTTCCGGTTCATACTGAAATGTTTGAACTGTACCGGGCCAAATAATGAAAAAGCGTCACTTAATGTCTCATTAGTTGGCTGGGTTCGTTTTAAAGTGACTTCTGGCTTAAAAAAAATGTTTCATTCATCAAAGAAATAAATAAGTATGCCTGAGAGGCAGACCAAAACTTTGTAATTGAAGAAGGTTGAAATTTCTGTGTCCTGTGTTTTAAACAGGTGATTGACTTTGTGAAGGGGATCCTAATTTGACTTATCCCACAGCCATGACAAGACAGGCTAATGCTTTTCCAGATTTATTGGAATTACACATTCATTTTTTGTTACACCTCCTTTTTTGTGCCTGTTTAATTTTCACGGTGCAATACCTAAACTATGACGCCTTTGTTTATTTACCCTGCTCCGTCCGCGACATTTTGGCGGTCAATCTAAGACGCCATCTGAAGTGATGTAATATGACATTTGAATTGAGAACTGGGTCTTTTGCTTGCATTTGAGGAGCTGGTATCAGGGATAGCGGGTGATGTTTTGGAGCCCTCTCTCTCGGGTTGCCAGGGCTGCTTAACATTTACAATGAGCCTTAGCTGTGTCTACATATCTTCCACATCCAGAAGGGCTCATCTGCACTGCAAACATTACCTGCGTCTCTGTCACCTCTGGGATACACCAAAAAGAGGAGGGAAGTGTAAAAATAAGCCAAGAAAGGAAGTCCCATTCCCTCATCTTCTTCTCTCACCACAGCAGCTCCAAATTAACATGTCACCAGTGTGCTCTCTGAGCTGATAATTTAGACTTTCTAACTAAAGGAATAAACTGTGTAATGAGGAGGGTACAGATAAGACACAAATACTTGTCTTCTTATAAATATTTAACCTTCCCAGTAGAGAGTGTCAGCGTCTCATCTCATTAAAAAAAAAAAAAACTTGGCTGGTTGAAGACGTTTAGAATGATATTATATTGCCACCACAGTTAAAACAATGAATAAATAGTAGTCTGTATGTAAATTACGGCAAACCTTTGTACGTACTGCCGGGGTTGAGATTTCTTTTACTGTCTTCAGTTAAAAGGCTATTTACCTCTAAGCAGAGACAATGAAATGTAGAATCAATAGACGTTGGGGCGAGAGCAACACACACTGAACGGTGCTGGCAGAGTTGTGTGCGTGTGTTTAATCTTCTGTCGCTTTCTCATTCCTGCAGACACAGCTTATGTGAGGGTTTTCATCAGCGACGTCAACGACAACAAGCCCGTCTTTGCTCAGCGGCTGTATGAAGTCGGCGTCGATGAGAACGCAGATGTGGGCATGGCTGTTGTCACTGTTAGTGCTAATGATGAAGATGAAGGTATGCTTTAGGGAGCTACCCACTGCCAGAGTTATGAGAAATTTTTATACCCTATCATCTGTATTTTCCCTTTTTTTCTTTTCTTTTTTTTGACGTATCTTTAGCAGAGTTTGAGGGGTTTTCTTTCCTTTTTATCCTTTCACACACTTTCTTTAAGACTATGAAAACATTGTTTGGGCACTATATTTTAAGCAATTGTATGTCAAAGAGACGTTTTTGGCCACTTAACTAGTGTTTGTGGCTGCACACATGGGATCCCCCCCCCAGGGGAAGCCTATTTCAATCTCGCCTGAACATTGCAGAAAAACATGCTACTGCAATCAAGCAGTTGCCAGATTTAGTAGTCATTTAAGTGCGTGGTAATGCACTGTAGCCCATTTGTTCCAAAAAGAGTGACATGCTCCCACACAGTAGGTGGGCGGGATTTAAGCAATAAAGCAGTTGCTCATCCTCCATACAGCAGTGGCCTAAGATCCCTTTATCAGGAATGTTTAGGTCCGTTAATCAAGTATTTATGGAGAGCGGGGGTGCAGCTTAGCCTGGGCTGCAGCACTAATGATGAATAGCTATAGAATAATACCAACCCCCAACATTAGAGTTATAATGCTGTTTCATTTGCGCCTAAGAGACCGTGCTCAATCTGTCTTGTTTAAAGACCCCACCCTGACTCTGACTGCTGTAAGCCTGCCAGGACCCTGTGGGAGACGGGGTGCATTTTGTCAGTTGGGGTTGTCTTAATAAAGCAGATTAGTGAATTTACATGGGATTTTGGCTATTTTAACTCCATGGGATGATTGAAAGTAAAGACTGTATGTTCGAGATAATCATCTCATCTATTCCAACAGTAAAACATTATATTAGTGCAAACTTTGTATATAACCTCAGAGAATTACTTCATTTGTACGAACTACGCCTTCCAACCTACCTCAAGCCTAAAAGCACTACCAGCATGCACAGTGCCCCCATCCACTCACATTGTATTTTTTTTTGGCCCCCTATGTTTATTAGCATTTGTGTAAAGTCAATGCAATACATTTCAATTTAATTGAGCGATTAAACAATTAAAAGACTACAGAAGGTTGACAAAAGGGTTGCAAAAAGTTCTTGAGGAATATAAAAAACCTTTGGAACATAATGAAGTGTTCTGTGTAGAGAGATTACTGGATTAACAATGGTAGTGGCGATCTACCACAGATTTCATTCGATTTTTTAATCGTAGCGACACTAATTCTTAATAATTTATTTTGTGATATGTGCCACAGGGGCAAATGCCAAGCTGCGATACCAGATAACATCTGGAAACAAAGGTGGGGCTTTTGACATTGAGCCCGAAGTTGGGACAATCTTTATTGCACAGCCGCTGGATTACGAGAAGCAAAAGAGGTACAAGCTGCTGGTGCTCGCCTCAGACGGGAAGTGGGAAGACTACGCAGCCGTTGTGGTCACGGTGGTCAACAAAAATGACGAGGCACCTGTGTTTTCCATGAATGAGTACTATGGATCAGTCACAGAGGAGCTTGATGGGTCACCTGTGTTTGTATTACAGGTGAGAGGCTTCCAGGAATATATTTTCTCTCTTTCCAATGATTGCAATTATCTTCAGAGCCCTTTCAGCACGGTTCCAATCTTTGCTATCATTGTAGGTTTAGGTGACAGCTGAGTAATGCTAACAATTCCTTATTCTGACATGTTATTTCAGGTTATCTACTTCCAATGTTTAACCCAAGCTGGGAACATTATAGAATTTTAATTCCACTAAGTCACAGAGGCGGCAGTGATGGATCTCACAGGGTGAAATTCAGCAGTGATGCTGTCTAAACCACTCTCAGACCAGAGGCAGGAAACCTGCCTGATCAGAGCTCGCTGCTTTAATTTAGGTGGTCAGGAAAAAGTGCAAACACTTAAATGAGCTGTCTAAAAACATCAAAAGCAAAGAGGGCTCGGATGATGGTTGGAAAGAGATAAGAGGAAGCACTAATTTGGGTTTGAATGCATGAGTGAATGTATTTTTTCTCAGGAAGTTGTCTTTATCTCTGCAGGTGACAGCCACTGACCCAGACAAAGACGCCGACCAGGGTGCCATACGCTACTCCATTCACGGACAAGGTGCAGAGTCACATTTCATGATCAACGACATCACGGGGGAAATGTACGCTCAGCGTACAATGGACCGAGAGGAGCGTGCCGTCTGGCGCTTTGTTGTCATGGCGACGGACGAAGGGGGCGAGGGGCTTACTGGCTTTACAGATGTTATTATCAACGTGTGGGACATCAATGACAATGCTCCCGCCTTCTCGTGCGCGCCCGATAATTGCCTGAGCAACGTGGCCGAGAACTCTCCCCCTGGAACGTTTGTGGTGGAGATGACGGCGGTTGATCTCGACGATGCTGCCATTGGTCAAAATGCCATCCTCACCTATCGGATTACAGAGAATGCAGTTAATTCAAACAACGCAGAGCTTTTCACTATCGATTCAAGCACCGGTACCATATCTGTGGCGGCAGAGGGTCTCGACCGAGAGCTTGCCGACAGCCACCGCCTGGTGGTGGAGGCCAGGGATGGCGGGGGTATGACTGGGACGGCTACTGTCACTGTCGTGGTAACAGACATCAACGACCACGTGCCAAAGTTTAGAGAGGATTGGTGTGGTGCTCGTGTCTCTGAAAACACACACGAGGACTCTCCCCTCCTAGAGCTGAGTGCTGTGGACCCTGATGATGGCGTGAACGGACAGCTGGCGTTCAGTGTGGTGGCGGGAGATTCAGAGCAACAATTCTACATGGTGAGCCACAGATTGGAGCAGATGGGCACTCTGAGGCTGAAGAAAAAGCTGGACTTTGAGCAGGCAGGGGAGCAGAGGTTTAACCTCACCATCAGGGTAGAGGACACTGACTTCGCCAGCCTAATCCACTGTGTGATCCTGGTGGAGGATGAGAATGATAATGCCCCTGTTTTTACCCCGAGCTCCCACCTGCTCTCCCCTTTGCCAGAGGACATAGCCGTAGGAACCAGCGTGATTCAGGTCGCAGCTGCTGACGCTGACTCGGGACTAAATGGGGACATTTTGTACAGCATTCTCCCCCAATCAGATCCATATGGACACTTCACAGTCAGCCGTGCCGGCGTTGTCACTGTCGCCAAGCCGCTGGATAGGGAGACGGTGGCGGGCTACGAGCTGGTTGTCATGGCGACAGACCGTGGTACACCGGCGCTGACTGGCAGTGTCACGGTCCGCTTGCCACTGCTAGACATGAATGATAACGGGCCCGAGCTGGAGGCAGCCTACACTCCGGTGCTGTGGGAAAACGGCCCAGCCCCTCAAGTGGTTTGGCTCAACCGGAGTTCAACTCTGCTTCATGTTGTTGACAGAGACTCCCCAGAGCACGGGCCCCCCTTCTTCCTCTCCCTGCCCTCCCTTTACTCCACTGACTTCCACCTCCAGGACCACGGGAATGGCTCGGCCACGCTCACCACCCTGCGGAGGTTCGACCGGGAAAGGCAGAGAGAGTTCCGCTTGCCGGTGATAATGATTGACAGCGGCGACCCACCGATAACAGCCACAAACACCCTCACCATCACTATCGGCGATCATAATGATAACGCCCATCAGGCAGGAGAGAAAGATGTCTATGTGCATAGCCGAAAGGGTGAGCTCTTTCGCCTCCCCTTATTTCTCTCGTTGCTTTTTGTTTCCGCCTCAGAGCTTTGCACTGCAGGCGAAACACGACTGAGGATAAATCTGAAGGCAAAAGTTATCGCTGCTCTACCTGCTCAGAGTGGCCTTGAATTCATAATTGCTGTTTTAACGTTTACATTCAACCAGTGTTTTCTTATGGTAATATTGTAAAGTTATCTCTTAAGCCTTTGCTCGCCAGCCCTATGCCTAAAGCTCTTAAGAAGTTCACTTTATTGCAAAGATCATCGTTCTTCACTTGCCTGTTTTTGTTTTTACCCCCCTAGTAAGTTGGTTCAATACTTTGGCTTGTTAGTGTTTTAGTCCCACACACAGCTACATAGTAGTTTTGGTAATTGTGGGAGAAACGGAAGCACTATGACTCATCCAGTCTGCCATTGTTTACCCAGCTGCAGAACTCTGGCACTGCAGGTCGATAATAACATAATCCATACTGAGATAGCCTCGCTTCCTTAAGCCTCATGCTCTCTGAAGTGGAGCACTGAGAGCCTATTCATTCCAGTAGTGGGACTCCACAGTTATGAGCATAATAAGTAGAACAGAACACAAGAATGCAAGATAAGGAGAAGAGTGGGACGGGGAAAGATAACTGTTGGCATCAGCAGATTTTGTCCTGACTGAACCAATACGTGTGTGTGTGTGTGTGCGCATGTGTGTGTTTACCTTGAACAGGAAGAATGGCAAATGCAGCACTAGGGAAGGTGTATGCCCCAGATCCCGATGACTGGGACAACAAGACCTACACTCTGGAGACAAGTGCAGCAAAGTAAGACCTCACGGCCCAATGCATTTTTCTGAAAACATCCAGATCTCATGTGAAGCAGAAGCGCCTTAGCCAAGAAAAAAACCGAAACAACGGTAAAGAATGCAGAAGCTCAGTAGTAAAGAGTGTGTGGAGTCAGCGATGAGTCTGCATTTCCCCATCAAGGCCTGTGTGAATCACTTGTCTTCAAATGTGTCTGTCTGATTTCTCTCCCAACCTCGGCTGGTAGTCCCTGACCTCTCATATATGCCACACTTTCAGACGAGAGTTTAATCATCGCCATCATCAGTAATTGCCACTCTGAAAAACACAATGAAAATCAAACAAATGCAGAAATCTTAGTCTGCCTGCATGAGATCCTGAAGATCAATCAGCCTGTACGAGGACGTTTTAACTACATTGGGGACCCTGTGCAGCCATTCACTATTCACACTTTCAGAATCAGATTAGAGATACCGATGGCACATTTGTTTTATTCATGTAGAAAAAATTCTGACAGTTACCATGACAACTATCAAGCAATTTGAGGAGCATTTTGGAGCCAAAGATTGGCCTTTTTTCTCTCCTCTTTCCCTTCTTGGCAGTGTTGTTATTTTTTCTGTTGCTTCTTATTGTGTTGACATTAAATCACATTCGTTTTTTTCCTGGAGTAAACCCAAATATCACCAACCAGCTCTCTACTTGACTTTCTGCCAAGTGGCTCAGAAACATCAACAGCCACTCGTTATTTTATTTTCATCCTGTATCATCTCACACTGAACCAGTCCTCTCTTACCTCACGGCTGCTCCTCTTCTCTCAGGTACTTCAGTCTGAACCAGAGCTCGGGAGTGCTGACCCTCCGACAGAGCACTCCAGCGGGCAGCTACTGGCTCAGGGTGGGGGTTTCTGATGGGGTGTGGCCTGATGTGATCTCAGGCATCAGGGTTCATGTGAGGGAGCTGGAGGAGAAAGCCATCCTGTCATCTGCATCGATGCGTTTGGGAGGTAACGTTACTTGATGGCCAAAATTCCTGTTTTAATTTTGCAATCCAAGGCTTTGAGATCAGCCCCTGAGCAGAAGTCACTGTCTGCTTTACCTCTTATGTAATTATGCGACCCAAGATTGACTTGGGGGAAAAAAAAATAAAACTGTGCATAAAAGCCTTTCATTTTGATTCACAGTCTCACTCATTCTTCAAAAAAAAAAGTCTTTGTTGTCACTGATAAATTCTGTTTTAAAGTTGATGCTGGAAGAGACAGCATCTGCCACAGGCATGAATAAATTGGCACTTTTCATTGAATGATTATCAGGATGTCAATCCAGTTAACACTGAAATAATAGGCTGTCACTAGCTTTTTTGTGCTTGCTTTGTTTAACATTTCTAAACATTTTAAAGCAACGGTTCACGCTGCATGTTCACAACAGTTTTCTTCTTCTCTTTCTTTGTCTGCACTTTGAAGTTTTATTTTAGAGGATTCATTTTTCTGACAGCATCTCAGATCAAATCTGAGTTATAAAGGTCAATTTGGAAGTGTCAGGTAAAGTCCTTGACATTTAAAAAGCCATTCACTGAACAGAGTCAAAGGCTATTATGGATTCCTCTGACTTCTAGTCGTTATCATATTTGAGAGATTAAAGATGACTGCTCACATTCTTAAGATATTACTGGGAGTTTGCAAACGAAATATGATTGATTTTTCAGTCGTTAAAATGTTTTGTACGGGGCAGTTTGTCAAGAGTTTAACTCCATTTCGGGGAGGAAACAAATGATATATACTGGGCTGTGTCAAGATTCATTTGCCTCATGAACAAGTTGGTGATGGAATGGTTCAATGGGAGAAGATGTTGGGTTAACTTTTCTGCCTATGGAATCAGGAACTTCAGAGACTTTCAACTGTACTTGACTGACAAGTCACGAGTTCTTATATCATGAGCTTCCGTTCTCTTTGTCTCACCTGAAGGTATTACAGCGAGAGAGTTTATCGACCTGAACGTCGAGGGGAAGAGTCGGCTGGAGGTGTTCTGGGACTTCCTATCTGAAACCCTGTCCGTTAGACCAGGAAGTATCAACATTTTCAGCATAGTGGACAGAGAGCGGAAAACAATGGACATCCATTTCTATGTGCTAACTAATAATGGCTACTTGCGCCCTGAGAAACTTCACAGTGTCCTTGCAACACATAAAAAAAAGGTATGTATACCGGGCTGTCGGACAGATAGAGATCTGGGGTAATACATCAAGTGATAAACTTGTTAGCTTGAGGAGAAGATAAGCTTTTTATCTGCCCTTTAATTCTCTCACCAAATTTCTGTCTGTTTACTGCTTGACCCTGTCATGGCTATTTGTCTCTCATTCAGTTTTTATCAATGTTTCCCCTCCCTCTGTGACACATTTTCATCTATCATGTTGTCATGCCGCATCATTGCGATTATCTTGCCGCTTTATCATTTGTTTTGCAGGGCCTTGTTCTTTTTCTTTTGCTTGATTATGAAGTTTTTGTCCCTCCATGCGTAGTATATCGCTGTTTTCTACCAGTCACCAAATTGGAGATCCGAACCCTGTTATCTCCGCTGACAATTATCGTAAATCCCCTTTTTGTCTCCCCCTACTGCTTCTATCTTCTATCCTTGCTGCAGCTGGAGTCACTCCTGCGTGTGAATGTGATCCAGGTGCAGGTCGATGAGTGTGTGCACGCCGACTGCAAGACATCCGGCGGCTGCTACACAAAGTTAAGCATCAGTGACTCACCCACCTTGATAGACTCTGGTGCTTTATCCCTGGTCTCAGTGAAAGTGATATCCACGCCTGTGTGTGGCTGTGCTGCCAGAGAAATGACCCGCCGACCCTGCTCCTCCTACCCGAACAATCCCTGCCTTAATGGGGGAACATGCATCAACACCCAGAATGGATACAGGTAAGAGGCATTTCTGCACATACACTTGAAAAAGGCTCATATAAGTTAAGAAATATTCATATGATTCGGTCTTCACTATTGTCTTGCCATAGGCTCTTATAATTGTTGTTTCTAAAGGCAACCCTAAAGATCAAATGGGTTTGAGCAAACTCACAGTACTGTAAATTTGAGTTAAAAAAAAGCTTAGTTTTCTAATGGCAAAAGTATTTTTGCCTGGCTCACGTGTGAGCAAATTTACTATCCAAATACATTATTATTAAAATATTTGCATGACGATATCTAGTTAAGTAACCTCTACGTTTTGAAGTTTGGCAGGTAACACAGCAGAATCCATTTAGTATTCAGTAAAACTGATAAACAAAGTCTGCATCAAGGTTATGTGTCACCTTCTCAAAGGTCTGTAATGCTCCACAGGTTAATTTGGCAATTTTAAATGAACTGATTTTAGTTTAAATTGTGTCGCTCTGGGTTGAATTTGATCAATGTCCGTAGTCAGTTTAAAAGCCTTCCTCTCAAAGTGCAAAGGTCTCACTGGGTGTCTAATGCTGGAAAAATGCATGCATTTCATTTCATGCACTTACTAATGCTCAGATTAGATAAATATAGGGCAAAGGGATTATTTCAAATCTGCCCCCCGCTGTGCTCGCAACTTCTAAAAATCTCTCTTAATTCCATGTACATGAATATTCAAGTTTCTCAAAGGCCAAGTCCTCAGAGACAACATGTACAGAACGTTTTTCAATTAGCTTTTTGATAGTTTAACTTAAAACCATAAAAAACCATGTTGGGTAAGATGACTCTCAGAATGTGCTGTGTGTGTTGAGGTAAAATAGTCTGGCCACAAAGGAGAAAGAAAAATCCCTACATTTTTGGTTCTATCATCTGTAAAAGAAGCTTAACTGGAAACCTCTGACTGCAGCTAATCAGATATTGTCAGTCAGAAGTGAGAAAAACAGCCTGTGCCCTTCTTGATTTCGTCAGGCCCCACTCTCACGAGTCACCTGAGATTCAGGTACTGTGCTTAGTGCTTGCAGATGTATGCATAAGGTTGCACTCGGCCTAAGTCGTCCCTTTTGCTGCATATGGATCAGTATTCCTGCCGTGTTGCCCCTCTGCACAATAAACAGCGATGGAAAAAACAGCCCCTTACAGCCTCGGTACACACAGACTTCTTCAGACAGAGCATGGAAATAGATGGCTTTGACATTATCAGCAAAGCCAGCTTGTCTCACATGCCTGCAGTGGAGAGGATAGGGCGAGATCAGCCGGTCCCTTCAATCCTCGCCGCCGTTGCAACTGAACTGGTTGTTTTTCATCATCATATGTATCTCAGTCTTCGTGAGATTTTGTATGATTGCTGCGATCTACAATTGCAGCCACTTACAAAAAGTCATTCAGGAGATTTTTTACAAACCTTTTAATTTCCAGTGTACACAAGAACGGGGATCATTCACACTAAAGCTCTAATCAAAGGAGATAAGTACAAGCGATGGGCAATTTAGGAGATGGTGTATTACCCCAAAATTGAGATCAGTACAGAGAAGGATAGTAGAAGGAGTCCAGACTATCATCAATGGCCCGAAAAACACAGAAAAGTGAGAGAAATTGATTCAATTATCTCCTAACAAAGACTACGTGATGTGCTGTGCTTGAATAGCCTCTGGGGAGTTCAGCACAGACGGCTGTGATAGACAAAGAATAGGCCGGAGTAATGTTGCGTTCGCAACTAATTGATTTAACGTAGACCTGAATATTCACGGCTTTGTCGCTAAAGCAAACAGTCGATTGATAAAAGTGCTCTCGCCGCCCTTCGCTGACAGACAGCATGTCTGAGCCGAGTCGGACCTCTGCCCGCGTGAACTAACAGAACTGTCTCCTGCGCCAGAGATTTGACATCGGGAAGATTTTCTCAGAGCTGAGAACTGAATGACACTGATTATTTCTTTCCGCTTGTTTTATCCTGATTTTCTCCCCTCCTCCGTGCTACAGGTGCCATTGCCCCCCACAGCTCGAGGGGCCAGATTGTCAGCAGACCAGACTTAGTTTCCTTGGCAACGGTTATGCCTGGTTTCCGCCCATAAAGCCATGCTTTGATAGCCATCTTTCACTGGAGTTTATGACAGAGGACGATGACGGGCTGCTGCTGTATGCTGGCCCACTGGCCACCCTTCTACCAGGGGATGGTGAAGACTACATGGCAATAGGTAAAGAGCCCAGATAATTGGTGCCTGAGGGGCTTCTGTGCTCTAAAACTGGGAACTTAATTATGTGTTTGATTACTTTGGGAATGCTAATAAGAGGCAAATGTTTGGCTAATGTTTTTGTTTTTTGTGTACTGTTATAGAGTGTGAGCTTTCGCTTGTGATATTCAGTAAACTTTTCAGTAACAAACCATTGACAAACGACTCTAATATGTGCTTGATATTTTGTCTCCCAAGCTTTCCCTCTCTGTATCATCCTGGTAGCACAAATTCCTGGATATCAGTTACAGCTATCATTTTAATTCAGGTTACAGAAATGAAAGGTTTATTCAAAATACCTAGATTTTATTTAGCCTCAATGGAATCAAAGTCTTTAAATAACATCAACAACAAGATAATTAATTCATTAACACACACACAATTTTTTTCTTTTTGGCACCCCAACCAGACACAGTTACTAATCTTGTGTGTCACCCTATGGTGAGAAGATGAACCGTTACTAATTTCTTCCTGACATCACAGATAACACATCCCTTTTTCCCTTTTAACTGCCCCCCCCCCACTCCCTACCCCCACCACCACCGCCACCACACACACACACACACACCCATGGCACTAATAAGCTACAGTGCGCAAATCCATTCTCAGTGAACATCTGGGAAGACACCCAATATCTCACAGATGGACCAAAGGCACCATTTATTCTTGCTGAGTCTTGCTGTATTAGTTCATCTGAATGTGAAGCATTAGCAATAAGATATCTGTCCATTTTCAACACCTGCTTAAGGGCTGGGGGGATGTTGGAGCCCATCCCAACTGTCCATGGGCCAGTCTATCACACATCTCACTGCAGGAGTTGGCTAAAGGGTCTCAATCTGATGTACTTTTTGCTCAGCTTGAAAGACTTGAACTTGTGCAGATGCACTGTGAGACACTGCAATCTTTTGTGTGGTCACTAACCACTTGAATAGGTAGTTACCTCAACAACAAGGTTTCTGACAGTATTTAATGACAGGGCTGTGAGCAATTTGGCTTCATTTTCTTAATTTCACTAATGAATCCTTGAGCATTCATTTTTTGTGAAGACAAAAGGAAGACAAAACACTTTAATAAAAAGCTTATGCACACACAAAAAGAGCCGAAGCAAGTGTAATTATTTAACAATGGGTTTATTTAGGAGTGTCGCTGCCTGATGATAGGACAGCTTTGAGGAGTTAAGCCAGGCGGCATATCATACCTTCTGTCGAGGATTATTAAAGTAGGATATAATAAAAGCACCTGCTTTAATGTGTGTCATTCGGTGCTCGTGTATTCTGGCCTTTGGCCTACTTTCTTACTCACCCTGACAGTGCATATTCATTTTACTGCAGTCTTGTTGTTCTGCACTGAACTCAGCAAGAGCTGATGTTGTGACAGAAACCTGTTTTTCACAAAAACAAGCCCAAACTTCCTGAAAAGTCCTCAAAAATCTGTATTCAAAAATCTGTAAAAACTGCCATATTCCAAATATATCTTTGCATACGTATATCCAATAGTTTCTTTTCAATTATCATTCTCAATTTACTGGCATTCTTCCTGTTTATACTTGCACTGTTAAACCATGTGGAGGTCTATCCTTTTTCTGCTGTTATCCAACTGTGACACACATGAACACAGTGATATGTTTGGAGCAAACATCATTTAGAAAAGAGATATTTTAAAGAATCAGTACCACAGGGTGAGCCACAGAGCTAACTGTGAACAGCAATTTGGGTGAAATGAAACTCTAATTGGTTTCCTTTTCTGATATGAAAATTATGTCCAACTACTTCCTTATCAGATGTTTCTGATGCCATTCAGGTTATTTTCTACAATCCAGCTGTGATGTTTTTTTCTGTCCTGTTGTTTCTTTTCAATATATAAAAAAACGTTGATACATTGTCTGCGTTTTATCTGTTCCCGGAAACTTTTATTTGGATATTTTGTTTTTCTTTTCATCTTATTTTAATTTACTCTGCATTTAATCTCCTTTTTGGATCAACTTTGCCTTTTCTGCCAGTCAGATTTGTTATTGTTCTATATCATATTTGTGAGAGTTCCATTCTTTCGTAATATTTTTCCCCCAGAATTTCCAACCACATCAAATAAGGATCTTGTTAGTGACTGCTATTAATTATGATCACTATCTTTCATAGAGCTGATTGGAGGGACGCCAAGTCTTAAAATAAACCATGGTTCTGGAACCCTGGTCCTCCAGTTAACAAATAACGGTGGAGTGGCTGACAAACGCTGGCATCGCCTTGATGTGAAGAGCAACAGCAAAGTAAGAGAAGTACAGTCATGCAAATTCCCTTTTATCTTGCTTTTTCTCCCTGTTGGCAGAGCAGATGCCAGATTAGAATCCAGGCTGCAGATCTTAAAAAGTGCCACACAGCAGTGGTGACCTCTCTCTTCACTTCTCCTCAATTCAAAGGAAGTACGCTTCACTCTGGATCGATGCTCCAGTGCAATCGTCATGGAGACAGAGGGTGTGGACTCATGGGCAATGACAGAGGACCGCTCATCCTGTGAAATCCGAGGGGTCACACCTAACAGAGACAGGTAAGCTGAGTAATTGAATGAAGCAGATGAGCCATATCAAAGCGTTGTGACTGTTCCAATCTTAAAGGAGACGATTATAATAAGCCCTCAGGTCTAAATCATTTGATAGATAATAGACTATGTGTTCAATTAACAGTACACACATCAAAAAAATGTGTTTAGTTTTTTTTTTGTAAGTAGGTCACAATTACGTTTTGGAGTTTCTCCAAAATGCCTTCTGGGACTTTTATTGAGGTACAACAAAACTAATCTACTTGCTTTTTCTCCTGTTTGCTTTTTCGAGGCTAAAATAGATGAATGGCCCAAAGGAACAGTGTCTAAATGTCCCATGTTCCCATCGGACTAAGCAGTCATCTGTGGAGTAGAGCATTAGTAGTCATAACAGCAGCAGCTTGCAGTATTATAAAAACAAAACTCACTGTGTTTTGATTTTCACATTGTGTACTGTGACTTTTCTCATGGTTTCATCTACACCATGTCAAAAACTACTTGGAAACATCAAAACACAAACTAATTGGTGGGTCAATGCATTTACGATGTTTTTTTGGGTTGCTGGTAGACTATTTACCTTTTTGATTACCAGCCGTTTTTGGTATATTTATTATAATTTATTTCCTCTAATTAATGAATTAGTGAAAACAATCAATAAAACACTATAAAAAGCAAATGAATAAATAAAACCGGTATTAGATAGAGTTACATTTTTGTTTGTTAAGTGGTGTTAACTATTTGTGATTTAAATCTTGCTTAAAATTTCTGAAACTTATCTAGCATTAGTGATATTTAAAAAAAGAACTCATAACATTCCCACAAAATAAAAATCCATAGAGGAATTTGTGTTGAAAACAAAAACAAATGCATCTATGTGTGTACAAGCCATCTTATTAGTTCAAATGAAGGCATGGAGATTTACCAATCTGTCCTCTCCTGGGTAAATAAAGTGTTGATGAAATCTTTGGATACAATCCTTGAAATGAATCTTTGATTTTGTGTTCATATCTTATTTTGCTTGGCCATAGCTTTACATGCTTAACCCTAGTATAGCCTTGGTTTCCCTGTGTACTCGTTATATATCGCATCATTATTCTATGAGTTTCTTACGATAACAATATACACACATAAACAGTGTTTCGCTGCTTTTCAGTTACTTGTGATAACTTCGGAATTATGAATCCCACATTTTTTTTTTTTTTCCCCCGTTGTATTTCAACTGGAAATTTTAATGGCCTTAAAAAATGGATTCTTTGTCTGCTCAAGCATTTATCTGATGAAGTTTTAGAAAATACAACTTGATCCTTCTTTTATAGTTTTTTTGAGAGACAAATAGATATAAAAATAAGTAGGAGTGAAAATTACTGCTGAGGCTTTGTTTTGGCTCCTGGCTTGGCAGGAGAATTATCACTCTTTACATCAAGACCGGAAAGTGCTTTAGGGGCCCACTTTGTGTTTGGACATTTTTCAACTGAAGTAATTTACTCACAATGCATATTCTCTAAAAGGTGGAAAAAGAACTATAATAAGCCGTCACATTTACTTTCTAAAGGCAGTACAAGTGATGACAGCCTCCGCAAGAACTGCGGGGGAAAAAAAATACATTGAACCTATACAACTGATAAGGAATGTAAATGTTCTTTATTCCATCGGTGTGCAGTCACTCTTTGTTTATTTTATAAACTGGATACCTTGAGAACTGGCGTGAAGTGCCTTTTGCTTTTCTTCAGCTAACAGTCCATGGTTGTTCTTCATTTTTAGGTACCTGAATGGGAGTCATGTGCTGCAACTAGGAGGAGTCAATGACAACATATCATATGAATACCCACAGCTGCAGCACAAGCATTATTCTGGATGCATAAGGAACCTATTTGTGGACAGCAAGGTAAAGTGTAGAGCAAGCTGGGTTTTAATGCATCTGCATGGCTGAAAGAATAGACTGCTACATTGTACCCCTTTGTTTCTAGCTGTTTGGATGACAGGCCTCACAGGTGATGGAGGACTCTACTTTAATAAGAATGTAAATGTGACCTCGAGGCTGCACAGGCAAACCTGATGAATGTTGATGTTCTTCGCTCTCACTTTTTCTTCTGGTCAGATACTCTCAGGCTGTCTCTGATGTATCCCTGTCGCAGAGAAAGAAAACCTGAATACCAATGTAGCTCAGCATATGTCAATAATATTATGAGATCAGTTAAAGTGTAAGCGCAATAGTTATAATTTTACTGCTGCTTCATTTTATTCTCAAAAAGGCTTTTTGAAAATGCATTTATATAAAGAAGCTGAAAGCCTTTTAGTTTATGGTCTGTGTATCATGCTGTGTGTCTATTTAACAGTTTGGGCTTTACACTGCAAATCTGGCTGTAGTTGTCGTGTAATATTTCTGCCCTTTGAACTAATGCATCCCAACCCTGAACCACCCTAATAGCCTTAGTATGACAATCATTTGAATTCAGTATGGTTTACACGAACAATAAAGAGCATAAATAAGCAGAAGATGAGTAAATATGGATGGAAAAAAAAGTGGATACATCATCAATAAGGCATACACCAAGCTCACATCAAACATCACATTGCAATTAAAACCCCAAACCATATCAAGATAATCAGACAGTCAGACACACAACAAATTGCAGCACCAGTGCATAGATGCACACATACACAAATTAATTAAACATACGTCTGGAGACGGGAGCAATGGGAACCCTTGAGAGACCAGAGATTGCTTTTGAATGTAGAAATAGTGGTGATATATCCTGAGCAGTACCCCACAGGGTAAATGCACCCCCACCAGCCATGAATCTAATCTAAAATGTATAATGTAATCAAAGATAGAATAAAGCTAAACTTTTGGTCCTACACCTTAATAAGATACTCTTTTTTTAAAGTCTTGTTTTGTCACCCTGAGTAATTAATTATGCATAAAATACATTTGGTGTAAATTTCTATGCTTGTAAAACTTTTTGTAGGGGTCTGTATTTTTCTCTGCATTATACATATTATTTTGTACAGCTTTAAAATATTTAATATCCCTGCTTTCGCCCGAAGTATAAAATGTTTATATTTATTTTTTTATGGTGATGATAGAATGAGAAATTTCACACTCATGGCAGAACATATCTTTCTCAATCTTCAGTCAGAGTTTTTTTTTTCACTGATATGCTTCGATTACAAGGACGGAGAATTCAGCCGACGCGTTTTGCTTCAATCCCTATATTTTTCTCATTTTGAAATCTTCTCTTTTTCTTCTGCCGTCCAGCTTTATGACCTTGGCGCCCCGGCTGAATCCTCCAACACTTTGCCAGACTGCAGTCTTATCGATGACCACTGCACCAGCGTAGAGCAGTTTCCCTCCTGTGGGAAGAGGGGCCGCTGTCATGAAGAGTGGGGCTCCTTCAGCTGTTTGTGTGAAAAAGGCTTCACCGGTGCACAATGTAATGAAGGTGAGCGCGTGGAGTTGCTTTTAAATTGTTTTCAGTCTGTTCTAGACCCGAAACTTATGAAGTGAAGGAAATCAAATGGGTACTTTTGCTGGTGTGGGAGGAAAATCTGACATGGAGGCAGTTTTGCACAGAATCATGCCCACAATCTGTTCCCTGCATATATTATCCATCTGACAGCTAACTGAGCGAGCCTTGTGTTTTCGTGATTGACAAGTCGCTGCAGAGCTTTCCTTTGACGGCCGGAGCCACGTCCAGATCCAGCTGCTGTGGTCTCTCCCTGCACGGCAGACGAGAGTCCAGGTTGGGGTTCGGACACGCGTCCCTGGTGGTGTCATCCTCAGCCTGTTGTCCCAGGAACAGAGTGAATATCTACGTTTAGAGGTGAGTCATGGCTGGTAATTCGCCTCCACCTTGACAGCTGTGATTGTCTTGTTTGGTAGCCTTAAACTGATGATTAGGGCCTGTAAATGACTGCTTCAGATGCTAGTCAGGCTGAGAGTGAGTAATATCAGGGTTGGAGACATATGGGTGGATACTGAGGGGGCTGCTGACTGACATATATATGTTCTCAACATGGCATTTTGGTAGGTCTACTGAATGTTGTTTTTGCAAATATTCTATTTATGAAATATGCCTTCTCTATTCAAGGTTACCTCCGTTTCTGGTCAATGATTCAAACCCAATTTAGTATGGCAGGAGGAGGATTGTGTACATAATACGTGGAAGGTCAAATCCTCTGCTAGACACTTCTGAGTTTAAGACTGTTTGCTTCAAGTGGTAATCTCAGTTATGTGTGCACACATGCTGCTTGTTTTACCACAACAACAGGGATGCTTAAAATATTCTTCATGTTGCCCACTCTCCATAATACCAAGCCTCTCCTGCCTGACACACTCCTGAAGGTTTGTGAAGGCCGCGTTCCTTTTCAAATCATTTAGTCTCATCAGCCAGCAGGCCAAGTGGTAGCACCACCTGGACCTAAACCATGCTGTGCTGTCACTCGCAGGTCACCTGTTTTCACCAAATCTGTCTCCATTACAGTGAATTTCACACCACCGCTCTGTCTTTGAAAGCATCTTTTTAACAGTGCCTGTTATTTGTCAGAAAAGTAGTGTTTAAGGCATCACAGTTTGCTCGTTTTTGGGTTTTTAAGCTACATCAGGGAAAACGATGTCACACCCGGCCTTTGTTGCGGTCCCTCGGTGACAAGGGAAGGAAAAGATTGTAGTCTTTACTGTGCAGTATGAGAGCTGTGAAGCCTCTCTGTGAAAGCCTCTCTGGAACTGAACTGGTGAGCTGTATAAAGCATCTGATGTCTGTCTGCAGCTAGCACACTAAAACACTTTTGGTTTTCTTGTCCCAAAGCTCACAGAAACACTTGAGTAAAACCCTGCTGTGTTTTAAGACAACAAGCCCTAATTTAAAGAGCTGTCTGCTGGTACGTTTTTATTTTTTTTCTCTCTTAAGGGTAGATGTGAGATTGAGAGTGCACTAAATAAATAACCACACTTTCACACAGAGGTTACCAGGGGCTAGCGGGGCATAAACAGCATGCAACTCTCTGAAGAATGTGCTCTCTGTAAAGAAAACATTTATCCAATGCAGTCAGTGAAATTTTTTTTTTTTGGAAGTGACTGAGACGTAATGCACTTTCTGTCAAAGAACAGCAACTCCCTGAAAACAATAAAAATCATATCTTTGAAATTGATTTTCTTTTTTCCCTTTGAAACTTGAAAGTTCAGACTTCAAATAATTGTTTGAACCTTCTTTGCTTTGTGGCGACTCCATACATCTCTGGGTGTGATGCAAAGAGTTTGTGTTATCAATTTTTACTTTGGTATGCGTCAATATGTGTTTATGCGTGTTTGTGTGTCCGGTGGGAAATGCACACTGGAGATGCTCATGCTGAGGGAGCAATAGTTAATGCAAGCTAGGCTGAATGTGAATTATCTAGCCCTACTGTTTCCAATTAAGCTTTGGACAAGTACAAGCTGCAGTTATGGGTTCCTCGCACTGGTTCAGACCATCCTGTTCGCTCATCCTTAACTGCTCAAGATAATTGTTGTTTCATGTATACCTTCCCTTCGGGAAGACTCTGGCACGGAGCTATGTGTGTAGTGTCTCGGCAAAGCATCAAAGCTGCAAATTGCTGAATTAATTCTTACCACTGGAATTTTCATGCCATTTCTCGTCACGTTCACCAAAGAGAGGCTCAGATGGGTGGTTGAATTTCACAATTCTTACCTTGCTCAACCTCAGCAGCCTTTTCTTCACTTTGGGAGCTGCCCTATTTCCTTTAATGTTTTTCTGCTCAAGAGTTGTTTTTGCCCATCACATCAGCACAAAACGGAAGGAATCCAAACTGTCAAACTGTCAGTCTGCCAGGATTTGTGTCACCTTGTTTTGCAATTTTATTCACCACTCTTGAAATCTACACCAACAAAAACAGTGTTACTGTAGCCGCCGACTAAACTGAACAGCTTGTTTTGCAGCACCGCAGTTGCTCTCAGTAGTGGTGACGACGTCTTATTTGTGAAGAAACTCCTGAGTATTAAGATATTTTTCACACTTCTTCTCCTAGAATGTGAGATCCATGCATAAATAAAACTTTTCTGTGTACCTCAGGTTATTCAGGGACAGCTGGCTGTTTTCTACAACCTGGGAGATGGAGACTTCAACATTACACTGCCCTACCTTCGGCTGGATGATGGGGAATGGCATGAGGTGGAGCTGGATCGGTACGGAAGAGAGTTCACCCTGAGACTGGATGGAGGTGGAGGACGACAAGAAGTTATAGCTTCCCCCGGCCAAAGCCAGGAGATCATTATTGATCCCTCTGTAGTGATGATTGGAAACTCTTTCCCCTCTGGACACAACCGCAGCTTCCTTGGTAGGTAACTGTTTTCCCATTTTGATCAACAAAGCACTCCAAAAACAATATAGAAATGGATTGAGAAAACCCCTGGTACGGTTTATATTGTTGCTAACAGTGTGAAACAGTGCTAACAGGAAACCTTTGGGCCCTCTCTATTTTGATGTTATGTTCCATAAAGGGTTTTGTTGATGAACTGAATACTTTGCAGCAGGCTGCTGCTAACAGAGCGCCCAAAGATATAATTTAGAACAAGCTCTTTGCTATATTGTCTATGTGTAGACACAGCAGTTGTCTATTTCTAGGGTTTGGTGCCTTTATGCTTGAATGATTCATACGTAAGTGTTTAATGGCAAAAAAAACTAAAAAAATAGCATAAAAAATAGTCTCCTTAGAACTGTCAAATACCAGAACTGGACTGAAAATCATTGAAAATGCAGCTGAAAAGAACTTTAAAAAGACTGGAAAACCTTTGCTTTGGACAACTTCAAAAGTGTCTGAGAAGCTGCATGATCCTTGTTTTTTGTAAAGAATAATGAGAGGTTACTTCAGACTTTTGCACAATACTGAACATAAGTATTAAAATTTTCTATACTACTCCTGATTGAAGAACCCTCAAGAGCAATAGGAGCCTCTAGTGCTGAATGCCTACAAGTTTTGAACACCTTTCTGATGGAAGCCTTCACAAAAACATCCAAACCTGACAGCTCTGGATTGGCCGTATCATTTTTTATTTTTTTTGCAGGTCTTTCCAGAGATTACCTGTCTAAGCTTTAAAATCTGCTGGGATCATGTCAGCTTTTACACCATCCTGAGATTATAAATCATCTGAAAAATAATTCTACCTAGAAAGCTATATATTTTTCAGCATCCAGCACCCTCGCAGAAAACATACACCCCATAGTTACTGCATGCCATCACCATGTGTGTTTGCAAGATAAGTCAAATTATCCTCAATGCCTAATTCACACACCACATTTGATATTGTGGCATAAATCTCGTAAGGCTGAATTTAAATCAAATAAATAATTGACTGAAATCAAAGAATTTAGTTTCTCATGTTCTGAAGGTCAGTCAACAAAGCTTCTATCTTGGTTTCATAAGGGCCAAACAAATGGAGTACTGTACCACTCTGCTCTATGCACAGTCGTCTCATCCCTCATAATCTATTGCAGCATCTTTTTGATCAAGGGATTGGTTGTTTTCAGTCCATCTTTCACCCCTAAAATAATCATTTAGGTATTAAGTATTTAGGTGTTGGAAGTCTGTCCATGCTATCAGATGTCTTTTTAAAGTGTTGGATTAGGTTAGGTCTCCAATCTAATGACTTGGTTGGATCTCTAACACATACCATCCACAGTAAGATTTTAATTCTGCCTAATATTCTGATCCTTTACATGTTATGTGCAAGGACACAAGGGAGCAGATGGTGTCAAGTCAACTTACAGATGTACCTCAGTGATCACTGATTAGGATGCAGAAAAGCTTAGATATGGACCAAGTGTGTAGATGGAATATAATTAAAGATTTTAGCCATTTATTTTCAAGAAATGCACAAAAAAAAACTCAACATATGTTTGCTTGTATATTTTGGTGCACTGTATCTACATTGATGAGGATAATTATTCAAATCCTTTCTTAGGGGAGTTTGGACCATAACAAATCATTGAAGAGTTTAAATGTCACAGAACGTTCCATTGTTGATATATTGATAATGAAATAAATAAGTGAATGGATGAAGTGTTCAAGTGGAGAAATTACGTGATAGATGATAAATGTATTAAAAGACTGTTTTCTCAAAGCCGTAGAGTTCACAGCTAGAGATGCAAATGATCTGATCCTTATCTTTCCCCCTTAGAGATGCTTCTATATTTCCAAACTGTGCTCGTTGTTTTTAAGCCTCACTTTTGAGCAGATGAGAGAGGGTGAGTCAGTGGCTTGTATATATACTGTATTTACATGATGTGTTGGACCTGATGCATCCCACAGAGTGAGTAAACTAACCAGCAGAGAAAATATCCAGTAAAAAAAAAGCACGCTGACAGCTTAGCCCGAGGCTGTTTGTGTGTTTGACTGCGTGAGCGTTGGTCTGCAGGTGTGTCAGCAAGTCTCTGTGTATGTTTGTGTGTCGATGTGTCTGTGCATCTAAAGTGCCGTTGTGTAAATCTATGTCTATAAAAGATTCTGCCTGAGGTCTAGTGTCTCCTCTTCCCCTTTTTCTGGCTTTTCACCAGGCTGTTTGCGAGATGTGAGGTTCAACGGACGCCCCATCCCTCTGGATCCTGAACAGCCTTCAGAGGGCCGTCAGGTTGTCACTTCTCAGGGTGTTTCTGCCGGCTGCTCTTCAGACGCGTGCCGGAAGCACCAGTGCTCTCCTCCTTTAGTTTGCGTGGACCTCTGGAGACACCATGAATGCAGGTAAATACGCAGAATGAGCTGTGCAACATCATTCGGCTTTAAAGTGCAGCAACATGTTCCACACATATCTGCATGCCTGCCTTCAGGGAACAAAAAATGCATGATAAATAATTACTCATAAAAAAAGAAGTCAGTATCTGAAAATGTAAAGCAAATAAATTCACTCAGCCGGTGTTTTAAATGTAAAGTGTTTTTCAGGAAGCATTCGCTAAAGCCAGTTTACTACAAACTAAGAAATCTAGCCAAAGATGGCAAATAATTTGTGAACAAATTTCAGGTGTTATAGTTCACATATGTCACACTGTATAGGAAATGAGCACATTTAAAAAGTCACACATGTAATGAGCAGAACTGAACCACATATGTGTGTTTATATATACTGTATATATAGAGGGAGAGAGAGACGTGATAATAAAGAACCTTTTCTTTCATGTTATTCTGTGACCAGCGTTTAAATATGTTGGCCAATATACATTTTAATATATATATATGAACATAATCTGTTTCTACTTGACCCATTAAGTATGACTAATTGCTTATTAGAATGTGAGAAAAGATTGTGAAGTTTTATCTGTGATGAAGCACAGATAAAGACTGAAAAACCTTTATATAATTCCATTCATTCGTCTAGTAAGCAATGGCATTGAACTAGCATGTAAATGCACGGACGACAGTCATTATTGATACTCTTGAGCTTCTTCAACAACAATAAATCAAAATACATGCAGAGAAAAAGCTCTTAAGTGTTCCAGCTTGAGAGAATGGTGTTAAACATTAGTGATTCTCCGAGTCCTGGCTGTCCCTTTAAACTCCGCAGGACCACTGAGTCTCCTTGCTGTGATTTCAAGACTCAAAACCAGCAGGGACTTTGACATCCATATTCTGTGATTGCAGCACAGCCTCGGGATACAAAGCACTGAGAGAAGCTGGGGGTCGGGGTGAATGATATTCAGAGGATATTTCGTACAAATATACTGAGGGACTGCTGCTGCAAAGCCAATCTTAGTTTTTTCGGTTTCTGTTCTTTATTTCATTTACAGTCGACACTCTGTAACCTTCAAAGAGTATATCTTTGAATCTGATATAAGAGGCCTAACTCCTGAGGGATTTATTCCTACTCTATCGGCTTAGGCCTCATAGCTCTTTGGAATTCAGTGTTCTTTTTATCTGTCGGTTTCCCAAGTGGCTCATGTCTGTGCTTTATGGTTCTTCATCTTCTCTGCACAGGTGCCCTCCAGGCCACATGACCAAAGAGAGCTCTTTGGGCAAAGTGTGCGTCTACACGCTGTGTGCCAGCCGCCCGTGTCACCACGGCACCTGCGTGGCTCACTCTCCGTCCCGCTACTCGTGCCGCTGCAGCGAGGGCTACCGGGGGCGCCACTGCGAGGTGGCGCTCGCCGTCTCCTACAATGTAGACGGCAATAGCCTGAGCCTCAGCTCCATGTTCGCCATCAGCATCTGTGTCATGGCCTTTTTAGGTAGCTATGTCGACTATGTCCTCTTCTACTTGTGGTGACCTTACTTTTTTGGACACTAATTGTCCTGTTGTTTCATCTTGTCGTCTTTCATCTTTCTGTGGCTTTTTTTTTTTGTGTGTGATGGGATCATCATTGCTGGATGTTTTATCTGTTTTTTTCTGTAACATCTACTTCTTTGTTTTTTTTTGTTTTCCAACCTTTTTTCTGTTCTCCCGCATCTGTTCACAAACACAAATCTTGATGTCGTATTGATCTCTCGAGTTGTGCAAGGATGCATTTTCTCCATGGGTGGTTGGTGAAAAAAAGCATGAAACAAATATGTACACAAGAAGAGATGCTCGCAGAGAAGAAAAGCATTGAATGGTCTAATTTGTGATTCACGGGGAAGATGCAAGAATCCCTGGAGAGTGGGGAAGTTTCTTTATGTTTTTCTATCTTTCTCATCGCTGCTGTGTCCCATCTCTCTTTCAGTGTTCACATCAGAAGTCAATTTCATTCACAGCCTTACTTTTTATTTGTCCAACTTATTTTATATTCCACCATACAGTCATTTTGCTCCCTTGACATTTGTCTTTTATACATTTCAGGGTACATTAGTGTTCTCCCATGTCAGGCTAAATGTCTCCCTGTTGTGCACTTCAGCGCCGTGCAACATATGGAGGATATGAACAGGCTAAACCCTCAAAGTGACAACAGCTTTTATTGCCCCCTTGTTTATTGTTAGATCTGCCTTGGCCGGTTTGATAAAGTTACGGTTTAAATCTATCATTAAGTAAATTTGGCAGAATCACTGTAAGTGTAGGGAAGTTTAAACTCACTTTGAAATAAGGGAATCATAAAAATGTAGTTTGACAATAGAGATCCATGCTATTTTTTGAGGAACTATAAAGCCAACAGACATATCTCAGCGTGTTCCCAGCTGCAGCACGGTATGATAGCAGCAATAAAGTCGGCTGAGAATATTCTGTTCTTATTTGTGGGGGGCATCGGATTTTGGCTTCAATAGGAGTACTAGCACTGAATGTTCATCTTTAACAATCGTGATACAATGATCAGCAAAAGCCTTGCAAATAACGATTTTTGTGAAAATATTTTTAAAGAATTTTCCAGCATTGGCTCTGGGAGTTTGCTAAAGTCTCCCTTTGAAGACTCATCTGATGATCTGAGGCTGCACTCTGACATTTAAGGGGTCACGAGTTCACAGACATATACCAGAAAGCAACCTCAGACAGCTTTGTAGATTAAGATCAGAATGTAGGCATCAATAATTATGAGAAGTGGATTATGCAGTCTTCTCTTTGTTCTATTTGAAACTTGGCAGCTCAATTTTCAGTTTTTTTCCCGCTGGTGTACGCTGTGTTACTGAAGCCAGATGCTGTAGATATGGGAGGTATGGGAGACCTTTTCCAGGTATGCTGTGGAAAGTTTCGAATTTATGAAATGGGTGACCTGCAGCATTGGAATGAATACAAAAAAAGAAAATAACCAAGCATGGAGCACAAGGTTTGCTTGTGAGATGAACAATATGAAAAAGTCAGACACTGAAAAAAAATTCAACCTTAAGGATCATTTTTGTGATATTTTCAATTCAGAAAATATAATGCTCACTGGGGAGAAATGTCTCTTTGAAGGCTGAGATTGCAAAAAGACTGTTCTTTATTCTATGTGCAAAGAATGCTTTTTTTCTCAAAAATCACTCATGTAGAGTGTAACATTTTAGAAGTGTTTCATCCATAAGAAAGGCCTAAAAGAGAAAGCTTAAATGATAAGTCATGAATAAAAAGTTAGAAACTAACCTATTATTAAGATTATCCAACTTGACCTAGATTGGAATCAATGACATTTGCCTGCATGGATAAAACTGCAAAGGCTCATAAGATGTGTTGAGATCTAACAGGATCAAAATTCAATATCCACCCACATCTGCTGCCAGCGGGGTCCTTTATAAGCAAGCTCCAATATCTGTACAATTGTTGCAAAAAGAGATTGACAATTACTTTAATTCACAGTAAAGTTTGAGAAAAAAAATCCTTGTGTGTAAGGAATTCTGTACATTCTTTTGTCCTCACCAAGCTGGAGGGACAAAATGGCTTCATGTTGTTTCTCTCTTCTCTCTAAAGGGACCTTTACTGTTCATGGGTCTTTGTGTCACATATAAAACACTTTAACAATTTAATACAACGTCTATGCCTATAACCGACTCAACATTCCCTCCAGGGTCATGTGGCGAGTATTAAGATATCACTTATTCTGATGCTTGTGAATGGAAGATGTAAAGTCGTCCGCGTTGTCTGATAATTAATTCAAAGTTGATGAAATAGGGCCTTGGCCTCTTTCACAGAAATTCGTGTGCGACTTGCAGTGCTTACTGAAAAAAAAGTGTGCCATCCATTTGAAGTAGCTTGTCCACTGTTGCAGATGAGACATTTATATTCAGAGTGCAAACTTTTCACCTCACCTAGAATCACTGCAGCTTAATGTAATTCAGATGAGGAACAGCGCTCGTTGGTGAGTGTAATTACATTTTCACACGTAAGAAAAATAATAAAACAAGCTGACTCTTTCCGTGAAGCTTTAAGCGAAAAGGGAGAGTCATCTTCACCTCGAGATCAATCGTCCTTTTGGCTGCACATGGAAATTAAATGAGTGCAGGTTTTGAGTTTAGTGAGCAGCTGGCTTTTACAGCGCTGACCCTCATCACCACAAGAACCACAACCATAAATACCCTCTCACAACACTAAGAAAGAGTGCTAGATTGCTGCTAAATTAAGGGGGGACTCTTGCATTGCCTCAAAGTGCATTAAAAGTTAAAGTGATCATCCATTATTAAGTTTCTACATAGGCCATCACAGGCCAAGCAGACTGTGAGCTCAGCGTGTGTTATTGACAGAGCCAGATGAGCTGACCAGTCCTCATTAATCCAGCATAAAATCTGACTCCCTGTTTTTTTGATGAATAGAGGAAATCAGCTGCCCATATGGGCGCAGATGCCAAACGATTGTGTAAAGTGCCTTTTCTTTTCACTTCCCTGGAAGCTGTATAAATAAATCATTTTTCCAACTTCTCATCTCTCACCTGTCTCATTTCCGTCTGCTTCTTCATCAGTTTTCCTCCCTCACTTATCTGATGTTTCATCTGTTTCATCATATTTCTTCCTTCCTACCCTTAGACTGGAGGTACTGTGAAAGGATTAAGTGTTTTGATCTTGCTCAGTTGTAGTTTACTCAACACTTATTCATAATGCATGGTCCAGTCAAGGCTAACATCATAATGCCCTGTTCATGGCAACGGTTGGAGGGCAGAAAGGCAGCAGTGCTGTGGATTGATGAATGACTCTGCTCATTCTGACGGATATTGATCTCCCAGGAATGTAGTTGGACTTGCAACTCCGTGTGGTAGCGGCTGTCTGTTTACCTGCAGCTAATTTTGTGTGGTGAAGTTGTCTTCCTTGGCTCCACGTTCTCTCCTCCCTCTATAATGATGTTTAACCCTTTAAAGCCTGATCCGAGACAAAATAGTGAGAAAATTGTGTTGTTTTTCCCCTTTTTTTAGTCTTTACTTGGAATATAAACAAAAAAATTGAAATAATTTATGAATATTCATCATTAAGTACTGTGCGATAAATCTAAATTGTTGTTGAGTAGTTTTCAGCCCACTGTTGTCAGGTATATTTGATTGTGTGCAACAGGGTTTTGAGCCAACTTTTTACCATTAAATGATGCAAAAAGGTCTCAGGTGCTAAAGATTTTAGATGCGGTATTATAGGGTTGATATCAGCCCAGGTGATGTTAAGGGATGAGGTAAGCCTATGCCTTAGGGCAGCACCTCGGAGCGTGTAATCCTGGAGGTAAGGACGAGAGCCAGGGTTTGGTTGGCGCCTGGCCTTATCAAGATTCTGATGTTTTCTCTTAGGCTGCTCTGGCGTAACAGCGAAGGAGCCTGGTCAGCTGATCAATACTGCTCTCCACTCTGCCCTGTACTGAGGGCGGTCTGTTGGGGATTGAGAGGGAGCACTTCAAATCTTTTTTCTCTCTGAAATAAGAGCAGCATTGGAATAAAAGTAGTATATCAACTGAAGAGCTTAAAATTGAGCAGGCATAGACCAAAAGAGATGATTTTTAATTGAGGCAACATTTTACTGGTGGAGATGAGCTCTCCGGGAGTTGTTTTCCTGTCTGTGTTTATAGGTTCTCAATACCTGCTTGCGTGACTACCAAAGACTCATTGGTGCATAATTCTCTTTCGAAGCAATTACTTTAAAACCCAGACTAATGTCATTACCCTGCATTTCTCTGAAGATGTCCAATTAAACTGATACTTAGTTCGCTCCATGTAAACTACTCTTGGTGAAATGGATCCCATCTAGTGTGGAAGATAAAAGCCAAGGCCAGAAGAGGCCAGAGAGGCACTGAAAAAGAGAAAACTGCAAGAGACTTAATGAGTGAGGAGGAGGAGTAGAGGAAGGATCGAGGGAGGATCCAATATACAGCCGCGAAAAGAAAGACAAAAAACAGATGACAGAGAAACTGATTCAAAGTGTGAACTAGTAAAAACAGATAGCAAGAAATAAAATAAAAACGAGCAAGACGGATGGCAGATGGGAGAAAAATATTGGTTGAGATTAATGAACTTTAAAGGTCAGTCCTGCATGTTGTATAATTCAGCACACAATAGCTGTGATTGATGTGTATGCTTTAGGACCTTTCCTGCTTAGTTTCTGCAGCATTCCTCTCTGCGTTTAGCTGAGCCACTGAGGCTTTGAGTCTAAGCTGGGAGGAGTACAAATTCATTTAATAGGGTTCTGAGGAACTGTGGTCTTTGATAAGATGGGGAAACAGAGAGGCAACATCAAAGGGAATAGGTGGAAAGGTGGTGCCTCTATTTTCATGTGTGTTCAATTAGTATGACTTAACTGTACACTCAGTGCAGCTTGCAGGTCTTCCATACAAATCTATGTTATAAATTCCTTGCTTTTAGCATGAGCATTTTCTTTTTTTACATTTGATTAAAAAAATATCATTGTAACAGAAGTGTGCTATTTGCTACTTTTTTCCATTTTCATCACAACTTTTTGCTCATTGTCAATTTCATATTGGGGATTTGTTCTTTTTCGGCTCAAAAACTCGTAATTTTACGAACGTTCGCCCTGCTGTGCTAACACACTCTCTGGCACCCCTCAGTGTTGATGCTGGGGCTGTTTCTCTACTCCTGTTGGAGACGGCACAAGGGCCTCAAGGAGGGTGTGTATCACGTGTCCGCACACCATGGCGAATGGGAGGACATCCGAGAAAATGTGCTCAACTACGATGAGGAAGGTGGAGGGGAGCAAGACCAGGTGAACACACACACACACACACATACACATACACACACTCACTGGCATTTTAACTGGCAAGAAAGATCTGTTGTGAAAAAGAATCAACACGCACCGCACACCTTTTGATGGTCTAAGTTTCTCTTTTAGCTATCTTAAATGTCATCGCACTGTACTGGCAAATATTAGGATTTGTATAAGAGAGATTTTTGTTGGGGCTGTGAAATGAAAGTTAAATATCAGTTCCCTGGGGAACAGGGGATGACAGTCAATTAGTCAAAATTGAACAAGAAGAGACCAATACATGTTAATGCCTCTATTTTATTAGTGCTAGAAAGAGCAGAAACAAGCCCCCCCACCATCGGATAATTAATCACTTGGCTGATCAAAGGTGCTGTTGTTGCCAGCTTCTCTTCCCATGGTGGATTCTCGCTGTGGTCTAAGTAACAGGCTCATTTTCTCACAGCGTCTTTGGCTGAGCACACGAATAAGATTGTTGTCATGCACGATCTTGTTTCGTTTTTTGTCTCCTACACTAAAAGAAAGATTAGACAGGCGAGAAGACAGTGCATTTCCCTCTCCTCCATCCTTCTTTCATTTCCTGCTTCTCTGTGTGTCTTTGTTTGTCAGAATGCTTTTAACATGGTGGAGCTGCAGCGCTCCCTCCAGCCCAGCCCAGCGCAGTCACTCCGCTACAGCTACCCACAGAGCATCATCTCCTACCCGCAGAATAACACGCCCCAGGACAACAACAAGAAGGGGGTTTCAAACGGGAACGGCAGCGCGGCTATCGCCCTGCGTCTGGCCATCCCGCCCTCAGAAGCAGAGACCTTATCATCCCCCCTGACCTTCCGTCGCTCCCAGAGAGCCTTCTCCTTCTCCAGCCAGGACTTGGCTCGCTACTTGTGCGAGGTCATCAGGGACATGGAGCACCCAGAGGAGCTCGGCACCATGACCACCCCACGCCGCCCCTCCGGAAAGGAGCGCAGCCTCGCAGCCGTGCGCTCCCTCAGCTCCCTCAATTCATCTCAGGGTTCAGAAGTCAGGCTTCAGGCGGCCGGCAACACCAGGATGGACAAGTTCAAAACCCTCCGAGCAGTGGTGAGCGATTTGAGAGGAGACTCCAAGAGCGCACAGGGCCAGAGAGACAAACTCAAGGAGAGCAGAGGGCAGCTGAACTGTGAGAAGAGCGGCTGAGCCTGCGCTCAGAGACTTAGAGCTGCAGGTTGCAAAAGACCAACACTAATCAGAAGTCGGTATTGGAAATCCAAGGGGAGGTAATTAAATGTGAAATACTTTGAGACTGGGGGTTTGCCCAGGGTCTACGTGAAGTATGTTACTAATTTACTGTATTAATGAAACTTTGAACATTTATGTTCTTTGATATAAAGATGTTTACCAATGAATGACCAGATGTGATGTATTGTTTACTTGGCATTGCACTGTACATTATTTTCCTCACAGACAGCACTTTTGTAAAAGTGCCCTACTCATGTCATACGACTCATCAGAGCAAAGTCTGCAACGTAAGACGGCAACTCAAGTTTCCTGCCAGATGACCGGATTCTTTTTGCTGTCAGTGACTCATGAAATCATTTATGTAACAAAATGAATTTGTTTAATTTGTATGATCTATTTCCTTTTAAATAAATGAGCATCTTTGATAATATTTCAACCTCAGTCTTGTTCAAACAGCAGTTCATATAAGTGATTCTCAGATATTCGGTATTTGAAGTTCCAAGCCAACTTTCATCTTCAAAAGTTCTAGCCAGCAAAGTCAGATGTAGGTGTGATATCTCATTACCAATATATAGAAATGACTTTCCATCATTTTACAATCATAACATTCATGTAAGAATGAAACAGCTGTTCTTGTCACATTCAGCTATTTCCAGCAAAAGGATCCACTGATGAGAGGAACAAGTCAATTTGGAGATTAATCATTCATGTACAGAGCCTCCTGCAGACTTCTGACCCAAGCTGCTCAGACTCTCCAGAACAAACTCAAAACGCTGGTATCCCAGCAGGCAGCCCTACATCATAGTTAATTGGCCAACATTACTAGAGTTAAACAAGTGTGACACAAGAGCAAGCCTCTTGGGGCCATGCAGAGCTGCTGCCAGCAGCTGATGGTCCTGATGTCTGCTTTTGGTCTATATGCACACCTACGTAATACATCATTATCACAGATATAAAAAGCAAAGATGATTATTTTATCAAGGTCTTTAACCTTCACAGACCCGTATTGTGTGAAAAGACTGAAAGTCATATTATTTTTTAAGGAAATGGCCAAGGTTACATATGTGAAATCAAAGACCTTTTCTTTTTTTTTGCTAGAAAAAAAGGATATATATATTGGAAACTTTTTTTAAATTGTATTCTATATGGTCTATTTGCTCTGATTTATTTTTCCAAAGTTTCTTTCAAGTAGAAATGGGACTGGATTTTTAACGGTTGAGGAGGTTCATATTCATGCATTTGTACTAATAACCTTTTGTGTGGAAACTCCATGAGATACAAAATCACACTGAGTGAATAAAAGTCATCTTTACATTAATGCTACAGTGCATTTACGTTATTATGGTTCCAGTTTATCCGTTTCAAGCTTGCAGACATATGTGGTGCATGATTCCACACTGCCACCTATTGTCAGTCTACTAATATTACCTTTTATCAAACAGCATCTCATTGCTGCTCATTCAAAGTTGGTTTCAGTGTTACACACACAAGTGGGATTTCAACCAGCAGAATGGAAGAATCCTTGAGCAGGTTCAGGGTTGTTTCTGAAACGATGATTTACAATTTAGGCCAAATCTTGCATTTATGAAAATGAATGCAAATACTGTATGAATAAGTGGACATTTATAGTGCTAAATTTCTTTATGTTGCATTGCACCAACAATAGGTGTAAACACCATAACATTGGAGAATTTAAAAAAAATGCAAATGACCCATTTTCAGCTAAGGAACACCATTAAAAAAATCCCTTTAATAGTTCAACATTTGGCATGTTAGGGTTGTGTACCCTGAACCTTAATCCATCTTTGTGTTTCTGTTCATTTGTGACCATGAGTGTGTCGTCATATTATCATTTTGTGTCGTCATATTATCATCCCACTAACGTGGGAAAGAAGAGGTTAAACCTTGGTCAATGAGCAGAGGAGATACCTCACATTCATTTTAATCTTAAGATTTTGTTTTTTGCAATTTACTTGTCAGCCGTAAGGGGGCACTGTCAGCCCATTATCAGACACCATTCAAACGTTAGCAGCTCCTGAGGGGAACTCAACTATTTATTAAAACCTGCAAAATATCTCACAAAGGGTTTAACCTACATTTTGAATATTTTATTCGAGCGTAATTAATACAATAATCATTATCATCGACATTACTGCTTTTATTATGATTTGTGTTGTTATATTTCAGTGTTTGACAAAGGAATTCTGTACGAATTTATGTTTATTTAGCACTTTTGTTTCTCAAATATTTTGTGGTTTGATTGCTTTTTTTTTCTTTTTGTGTAGTATGTGATCACCTTTTAAGGAAGGAGGTTCCTGGTTGCAATCCGGGCTGTGAGGCCTATGAGAGGAATTTGTGTGCCCTTTGTGTGCCTTCTTATAGCCTCTCACAGTCCACACATATGCATGTCAGGGTAGGTGATTATTCTGAGCTGGCCATAGGTTTTTGCGTGAGCATGCATGGTTGTCAGTCTCTGTGTTGCACCTGTGATGGATTGGCAACTTGGACCGGCTGCATCCAGTCAGCTGGAATAGGCTGAAGCTCCCTAAACGGAATGAAGCAGGTATGGTCAATGAATGGGTGTGCATTTAACATGATGTCGTAGAATCCTTTTAGAAATGTTCATCCTAATGAAAGAATCATTTAAGATTTATGAATAGTGATTTCAAATGTGATTTGACCCCAAAATGAGTAGAAGTCTGGGTCATATTTATGGTGTCAAGGGTCTCCAGTTTAAGAAGTACATTATAAACTTGTGAAAAACTCTTTTGAAAGTAACTTATTACTACAGTGGACACATGAGTCCAGTATAGGAAAGTACAAAAAGACTATTGCATATTCCAGTATTATATTAGCTATAATTCAAAACAATTACACAATAAACCAAAGGATAGAGTAGATTACCTGAAGTCATTACATTCCTTCAGTGTAAAACATTATTTACATGAATACATGTTTCACATTTCCGTCAGTTTAGTCTACATTTAAGAGTTATGCTAAGGAGCCCTGGATGTGTTATGTAAACTGACACTTCAGCTCTTGAAATTGTGCTCTATCAACCATCTATGGGTAATCTCATTATGGGGGTCAAATCTACCCCCAAGCGTTGAATATTACACTGTCTTTGAGTTAAGTCTGGAAGAGATGATCATTTTTAAGACTCAACAGGGAGAACGGGGAGGAACCAATTTAATGAGGGACTATCGAGGAAGATGATGCATCGCGTGTCCTCTTGCACTAGCAGATTCATTTCTTATGTGAGATCAGAACAGAAACTGGGGGGTGGGGAGAGGTGACTTCACTGAGTCTGTAGGAGGAACGGCAGAGGAGCAGAGTGTTTGATGTGACAGCTGGAGATTGTAAGAATGAGGGGTGACACAGAGCTCTAGCTTCCTCAGCCCTGGATGGTCACCAAGCCAGACTGTCAGTCAGTCACTCTTAGATTTTAGCTCTGTTTACTCTTGTGTTATTAACATGTGTGTGCGTGTGTAGTGTGTGTGTGTGTGTGTGTGTGTCCGTGTTTATCCTCAGGCAATAGATCTTGGGAGGAATGACAGTGTGGCGTGGCCCTCTGTCAGTCGCCCAGCAAAGTGGCATGCGTGTCAGCTCTCCTGACAGACGCTCTCATCCTGCTGGCCAACGACGGCGGTTGCAAATGTGGGACATGTCTTGTGACAGAGCGACACAGCCTACACGACAACTCGGCTTGCAGACAGGACACGAGCAGTCAAGTTTGATGTGAGCGGGTCAATGCTGAGGGTCCGGGATCCGGGAGGCTGAGTGAGAGCCGCGGTGATCTCTGCACAGCTGGAGACACAACAGCTCCGTTGCATATCACTTACAGTTTTTTTTGTGTTTTTTTTTCACATGGTTGGAAGGGAAAACTGGTTTTGTTTAGCTTATTGCAACACGGCTTGCAATATCTAGGAGACTTTTTACCAGCTTTTGCTGGCGTTGAAAGGACACTTAATATACCGATGATCAGTGCTTTACAGTGGAATAATACACAGATCTAAGACGCAGCTCAGTAAGAGGGGGCACTAGTATCACACGCGATGGGAAGAGATGATCTCAGCTGCCAATGACATATGGCAGATGAATAAAAAATCAGTTCCAACATGTCTTTGAAACACCAACCAGGCATATAACTCTGTATAGTAATTATTTTTTTACACTCCCAAGCTCTATAAACAAAATTAATTTAAGAAATGTATCAAGACACTATCAGTGAATTTAACGCGAAGGGAAATCTTTATTTTTTAAAACAGAAGTAAAAATTTTGCCAGAACAGATGAGGGTTTTTATTCATTTCCGGGCAATCTTTTGTCAGGTTAAGCAAAGAAAAAATATATTTCATGGATGTGGACATGGTCAAATACATGTTCAGCTTCTATTCATAGAACAGTTCTCTTTGTGCTTTAGGGTTTTTGGGTTTTCTTTTAAATTTCCTGTTTCTGTGATCCATCATTTGAACGTCATTTGAAAAAAATAATGACAGTCAATTCTGTTTAACACAAGTTTGATCATGTGAAACATTTACATAATCAATGTAAATATATACCACAAATTTAACTGTGTGGTCTCTAATTCTGTGCTCTCCTAAAGTAATGGGACAGATCTCGCATCCTGACTTTATCAAGTAGTGTAAATGGGGATTTTGGAAATGCCAGGATTTTCTTTTCAGAAAGAGTAAAAAAAAGGAGTAATCAGCCCAAAAAACAGTCAAAGCTGATGTAGTGTTTGAGACAGCATTTTATGATGCACTCTTGACAAGTAAAAAATATAGTATAAGATAAGGACCACCTATTCTACTGTCAAGATTATGTTATTCTAATATTTTTACTGAGGTGAACTTTTGGCCATAATGAATAGCATGTCTCCCAAATACTATTTTGACAGTCAAAAATTATTTCAGAACTGCCATGCCTGCAAATAATTGCGAGACTGAAATGTGAAATCGACTGAAAAAGTTCCTTGATAACACTGTTTTACAGTTATTCATCAGGACAAGATGTTGTCCAGGGCATGTCCATTATGCAGTTTGTGTCATCTGCCCACAGATGGCACTCACGGCCACAACTGAACTCTGACTGTCTTGTGCTCTGTGCTCACATCAGGATCCTCAGGTTTCTTTTAAGTCAGAGACACTTTATTCCCCTTGTTGTGGTACATGGCTCCAGCACTGAGATCTGCAAGGATGCACAGCAGCCTCCCAGAAATGTGCTGGCCACACTTTATCATTGACTGAATTAAGGGAATTTAATGGCACTACTGTGATGGATTCTGGGAGAAGCTGATTTATCGATCACACTCTTCTGCTCCTCTGCTAAGCTGCAAATCCTCAAATAGTTACTAATCACCTCCAGTAATCACCAACTTTGTTTTTTAATGCTTGAATAGTTTAATAAAACCAATTTGCACTAACTTTAAGTGCCCCTGATGCAAGAAGTGACCCAATATCTGAGGAGGGTTACTTCATAGCTGAATCTATGAGGTCTTCTTGGATTGAATGTAGCCGTTTGTGTCTGTCATACACTTTGTCCATCCATCACCGAGGAAGAGGAGGGTTGAGCTGAGCGGTGTGGTGGAGAAGAAGAGGGGGAGAAGCAGAGGGTGCCTGACAGATGGGCTTAGTGAGTGAATCATTGACAGGGGCTTGCAAACGGATGCTGGCTCCATCAATAGCTCAAAGCCTATGTGATGAATTACTGCAGACAAACAACGCTGAGTAAGCAAATGTGTTTTTAACAAAGCCAGGTGGAAATATTAGAGCTTCTTTTCAGAGCTTCAGATATCAAAATATCACGTCTCCTTTCTCTTGCGTTGCATGAGGACACAGCCAAACAAATCAAAATCCATTTCTGAGGCATTTCATCCTCTCTTTTCATAATGACCGACTTACAATCATATTTTTATTCTT